AGTACCTGCGGCAGGTCATTGCAGAATATGAGGCACTGGACAGAGAGCTCCCATGCATTCGGAAGTTCTCCATGCCGCCTGCTGCCCAGCCCCTCTGCCTCTGCATGGAGACCTCGGTGAGTGACCCCTGACCTTTGTGGCCCAGGGCCTTAGTTTCTGCAGCTTGGGTGGTGAGACTGAAAGGGCACAGACTCAGGATTGAGGTGGCCAGGGTTTTGATTCAGGCTCTGTGGCTTACCAGCTGTGGCTTTGGCACTGGGACAGTTTGTTGAAAATTGATTGTGAATTTGTCAAAGGATTAGTCATTCAATTTATCACTGCTCATCCCAGAGGGGTCTGAGAGGTTTGAGGGAATACTGAGGACAAAGGGGTCCTGCAATCCATATGCTAGAAAATTCTGTAAAGTTTCAAGTCTAACAAAAACTCATAAGGAACTACTCAGGCTTTTGACAGATTCAGCAAACAGGTCATCGGGACCCCTGGGCAATCCCTGCTCTTAGAGTAGGTAATGTGCAGGTTCCAGGCACCTGGAACTGCAGCGAGAAGAGCCGATATTAATGGGAACTTAAGGTGCACCAGGCACCGGCCTCTGAGGTGTCCCTAATTTGTGTGCCTTGGTACCAACACAGGGATTGTTCTCCTTTTAGGGACCAACTCCCACCCCATCACTCCTCTCCTGTGGAGTTTTGAGGAAGGGACCCTTCAGCTCCTGCTCCTCCCCACCTAATCCTTGCCTCTCTGGAGGTGAGAACGCGTTTTCACTTAGCTCCTCAGTAACGGTATATGCTTTAACAACTCTGAATCGCTTTTAAAATTGCAGTCTCATGCTGAAAACGTGGCTGGTGATCAAGAGATTCTTCTGAATGTTAAATAGATTGATAAGACGTCAAAACGCCATGACCCTTATGTTTTGATAAATGAACATCCTTAAAATGCAAATATGGCTTTAAAAGGAAAAGTTACAATTTAAATCCTGGCAGAAATCTTCAGGAGCTTATAGTACCATACATCGCATTGCTGGAAAAGTTTTTGGTAGACTGCTGAAGTTGGCCACCCTGGGAATCATTCAGGCAACTGTTCATTGGCTTGGGCAAATCGGCTTGGCGAGAACTGAGTCTCTGGAGAATGACCTCGAATGACAGTTAACGCTGAAAGATACCCTACTCCCGTTTGACAAAAGCAATAGGACCCTGGGATCAAGTGCGATCCCCGCCCCTCAAACGCCACCTGGGACCTCGGCAGGTTCTGCAGGACGTCTAGGGTGGTGACTTTCTAACTAGGACTGAAGGGTTGGACCAGGGCATCAAGGGCTGAAGCTCTTCGACTCCCCCAGGAGGATTTTACCCACCTGGAGGTGCTGGAGGCGCTTGAGGCCGAGTTGCCCGGGGCCATGCAGAGCGGGTGCGTGAGCAGCATCCGCTTTGAGAACGTGAACGTCATCTGTGGAACCGCGGGCCGCCGGGACCGGTAAGCCCGCGTGGAGGCGGGGCTGGGAGCGTGGGGGGCGGGGCGTGGAGCTGGGGGCGGAGTCAGAGTAAGGGCTGGGAGACTAGGAAAGAGCAGGGCGGAGGCAGGGCGCCGAGGCGGGGCCGGGAGAGAACTGAGAGACGGCGGGAGCTGGGCGCAGCGGGGAACCCGACTTTGAGTTAATCAGGCAGTGACAAGACCAAGACCAAGGCAAGGCCTTGATGTGGAGTCCGAGCCTGGAGAAGCGGCTATGAAGGGGCACTGGATTGAAGACAGGAGTGGCAGGTCCGGGGGCGATCAGGGGAGGGCGGGGCCTGGAGCGGCGGATTGAGAAGGGGGAGCCTGTGATTAGGGGGCAGAGCCAGGCTGAGAGGACCGAGCTTGATGGGGGTCAGGGCACGGACTGACCTCGGCAGGAGAGGACCTCAGGGACGGAGTGGCTACAGTCAGTAAACGAACAGGGACCTAGCGAGGGACAGAGGGCTGCGGAGCAAGTTCCCCTTTGGTGTTGGCCCCGCCCCCGCAGGTGGCTCATCACGGTCACGGACTTCCAGACGCGCTCGCGCCTGCTGCACTCAGGGATCAGCCCGAGAGGGATTGCTCACTCGCTGGTGCGCCACGACGAGCTGCTGCTGGGTGACTACCGCCTGCACCTGCGCCGCGCCCTGGTCCGGCGGCACATGCTCCAGGCTCTGGGGGCGGAGCCTACGGAGGAAGATTGACGCGCAGGGCGGGCCCCAGCTGCACACCGTCCCGCGGGCCTGGGCGTCCCACGCCAAACCCCGGAGGAAAGGGGGCGTTGCCTCCCCAGGAAGGAGGCGGGGCCGGCTCGAGGGGGTGGATACTGTGAGTTTAATTATAAAGAATGACCTGGTACAAAAGCCATTTCTCTCTGCAAAATCTTGGTGGGGAGTCAGGGGGAGGGAGGTGATGGGGGGTAGGGACGAACCCCCACATTATAACCCCGCCTCCCTAATCGTACTCCAGTCCCTGCAAATGGACGCTGGGGTCCCAATCCCTCGAGGGAGGAACCGAGGCCAGCGGAAGGGAAGACCCGGGCGCCGGGGCTTTCAACGCATGTCATCCCTGTCTTGGCTAGAACCAGACGTCTTCATCCGCCCCCTCCTCTTCCTCCTCCCACCCCCCCTTGGAAGACAATTCTCGGGCTTTTATTTCAGGTTTTTTTTTCTGGATTTTTTTTTGTGTGTATGTGTGTTCTAGTTTCTTTTGCTTTGTATTTTCTTCTTTTGTTATTGTTTCTTTTTGCTTTGTCTCTCCTCTCCACCCCGCGCTGCCCCCCCATCCAGTCCCTCCCCCCTCCCCCGCCTCTCCTCCCCCTCCCCACCCCCAACACCCTCCTCAACCCCGCGGCACCCATCCAGAATGAACAAGCCCTTGATAGACAGGTGCCGCGCAGGCCCCCTGCGGACTGGGGGGCATCCGACAAGGGGGAGGGGGCGGGTAGGGACCCAGCGCGACTTCTGCTCCTCTTCTCGCCATCCCTCCCCCCTCCCACAACCCTCCCGCAAGTTTCCCCGCAGATCCCTGACGTGGTGAGGGGAGGGGGCAGCCCCCTCCCCTCGTGGGCGGAGCGCCCCCCCCCCTCGGGGGTAGGGGGCAGCAGAGGGGAATGGGCTTGGGGGACGGAGGGGGAGCTCCCTTCTTTGGCAGCTGAACATGGTGGGGGGGGGACCTGAGGGCTATGCCCTCCCCCCTTTACCCACAGCAGGGGAGGGGGCTTCCAAGGGGTAGGGGTGGCTTAAAATTCCCAAGCCCCAGGAATAAGGGGAAAGGGGAAGCGTGCGGGACGGAGCAGCCATGCTGGAGGGAGAAGGGGGAGAGAAAGGAGAGAAGAGGAGGGTAGGAGGAGAGTGGGATCCTCGTGCAAAACGGAGGAACAGGTGGCCCAGGACGGGCAGGGAGAGTAAGGGGAGAGAGCTGGAAGAGAAGGGGAGCTGGCGGCAGAGGAGGGGTGAGAAGCCTGGTGAGCAGGAGCAGGCAAGCACCGGCCTTTCTCCAGGGAGTGAGGAGCGGGGAGGGGCGCAGAGCGTGCGAACAGCCACAGAGCTGTGCCTGGACAGGAGCAGAAGAGAAGGGTGTCAGGAGAAGGAGGGGCAGTGCAGCCCAGAAGCGGGGAGATGGGTGTGCAAACAGAAAGAGGGGGCAGTGCACGCTCTCCTGGGAGCTGCATTAGCGGAAAGGCAGAGGGGTGCAGCAGGTCCCCGGGTGCAAAGCATCACAGAAGGAAGAGGCTCCCGGGGAAGAGTGAGAACGCAGGGGAGGGTGCACGTGACGGCGAGTGTGCAAGAGGGTGTGTGAGAGTCAAAAGTGGAGGTGGACAAGGGTCTGAAGAAGAGGGGTGCAGGGAAATGGGGCCTGGCAGAGGAGGGGAGTGAGCATTTGTGAGAGAGACAGTTCTGTGAAGCAAGTGTGCAAAAGTGACAGTGCAAGAGGTTGAGGGAGAAAGTGGCAGGGGAGGGGTGAGAGTGCCACTTGGAGGAAGAGGTGGGTAGAGTAAGAATCTGGGGGTTCATGGTAAAGAAGAGAAAGTGCTTCGACGTAAGCAAATGGAGGTAACTGTGTGCGGAGGGCTGCACGAGAGAGCACCGACAGACGGACAGTCGGACAGACGCTAGGACTGAGCAGAGAAGGCTCCCAGGGAGCGGGGGCGGGGGGGGGGGGGGGGGGGGGCTGGGCGGGGGGGGCGTGGGGGGGGGGGGGGGGGGGGGGGGGGGTGGGGTCCGGATGGGCAGGGAAGGTGTGTCCCACGTGTGTCTGCATCATGGGTTCAGAGAGGCTGAGGAGTCTGAGGCTGTAGGAAGTGAGGTGTGCACAAGAGGGTCCCAGCGGAAGAGTGTGAGCAGAGTCAGAGCGGAGGGCGCAGAGCGGAGGAGGGAGCGAAACGCAACGTGTGCCAGGAAAATAGCGTGTCTGACAGCTGAGGGGGCCCCCGGAGCCTGGACGCAAAGGCGAGTGTGCAAGACAGCGAGAGGGCCAATCTGTGCAAAACTGCAGCCCAGGGAAGCGGGTAGAGGCGAGTGGGCGTGCAATGGAGCGCGCGTGCAGGAGGGGCAGCCGTGTGTGCAGGGGAGGGGCGAGGGGGGCTGGGGCCGGCAAGGTGGGAAGGCTGCTGAGAGGCGGCAGGTGGTGGAATCTGAGGGTGCCCCCTTCCCCTGTGGCCTGGGAGTCAGGCCCCCATCCAGTCAGGCTCAGGGCTGACCCTCTATGGCTCTGTCTGACCCCTCCCCCCAGAATCGACCCTTCCCTCCTTCTGGATCCCCGTGTCCTTTCTTCCATCGCCCCCTCCGCCCCCTGTCACAACGCAGTCTTGTGTCAGCCGCCCCCTCCTGTAGGGCGCAAAGTGTCCGGCCTGCACAGGGCCACCTGGTGGCCCAAGGCCTTGGGAGACTAGGGCAGGGCGCAGTTTCAGCAGAGTCCCTGGCCCAGGGAGAGAATGGTGGTCAGGGTTCAGAGGTCAGGAGGCCAGCAGGCTCAAGGGTACTGTGGACGGGCTGGTCCGTCCAGGCCAGCCATCACCTCTCCAGGAAGAATTTGAGAGCCCGGTCAATGTTCATGCGGTGGCCCACCCTGGTCACACCCAGATCCACATAGTCCTCCTTGGTCAAGGCGGGCAGGTGGGAGCCATCGATCTCGTGGTCCAGGAACCGGGCACGGTGCTCAGCCAAGCCCAGCCACTCGAGCCAATCGGCCACATCGAACTTGGTCCAGAACCCCAGAGGTTTAGCGCCAAACGGCTTGTCCGGGGGCAGCGAAAGCAGGCGGGTGGGTGAGAGGGAGCGCGATGCCCCTGACAGAGCTCCTCCAAGGCCCCCGGACATCCCCGGGTGTGGTGGCACAAAGACAGGGGCAAACGGGTCAGCAGAGCCTCCTGCCCCTCCGGTGGGGGAGCCACGGATGTCAAAGAGGCCCGGATAGAGGGGTCCAGAAGGCAGGATGGGCAAGGACGAGGGCCTGGGCGCAGGGCTGACCTTGTGCTCCGAGGTGGGCAGCAGAGAGGGGCTGGGGGCCCGCCGGAGCAGAGGGGGCCGCATCTCGAACTCCACGCCCTGGAGGTGGCGGGTGGACGTGGAGGAGGAGGAGGCTGAGGGTGAGGTGGCCCCTGGGGCTGCAGCTGCTGAAGGGGGCACGCCAGTTCCAGTGGGGAGTGGTGGCAGAGGTGGTTTGGGCCAGTTCTGAAACAGGCTGCTGACTGGTTTGGAGAGGAGGGAGGACTGGGAGTCGTCGGAGAGCCTGGAAGGTGACCAGGGGCGAGGGTGGAGGAGAAGGGTGCAGGGGGCCAGGGCAGGGTGAGAGAGAGGCAGAGGTCAAGATATAGGGAGAGAGACAGGAGGGTGGGCAGAGAGGTGGAGAAGAGAGGCAGGGAGAGATGGGAGGAGCACAGGGGTCAGATGGACGTCAGGACAGAAATGAAGGGAGAGAGAGAGGAGAGGACAGGGACAGGGTGACAGTCAAGAGATGAAAGAAAAAGAGACATTAAGTGATAATAATAATAATCGCCATCACTCACTGCTGCTCACGTGTGCCAGGCATCGTTCTAAGTGCTTTCCATATTGCATCTCAATTTAATCCCCACGACAGCCCTGACGCAGGTTACTATTATTATCATCATCATCATCATCAGCACAGAGAGGTTAAGTAACTTGCCTAAGGACACACAGCCAGGAAGTGGCAGAGCCGGGTTATATGGCACCAAAGTCTGAGCTCTTAACCACTACTCTATACTGCCTTTCGGGTTATGGCCAGTCATAGCAGAGTGGAAGACAGGGAGACAGTGAGAGAGAAACAAAAAGAGGGTGGGCATTCAGGGGAGAAAGATGGATGGGGACAGGGGACAGAGAGAGAGAGAGAGAAAGAGAGATGAAGAGAGGGAGATGAAAGAGAGAAGAAACAAGGGGAGAAATAGGTTCCCCTCATCCCTTTACCTCCCTCCAGTACAGGCCCACCTCAGGGCCTTTGAACTGGCTGTTCCCTCTGGGTAGCTCACTCTTTCCCCAGACAGCCTGGTGATGGGCCCCTTCCCTTCTCCACTCTCGGCTCCTCTTGCCTGTTTTTTGAGAGACCTTCTATAACCATCCCATTATTTTATTTTTCTTAAGGATGGTTGAAATCATTCTGTGCCGCCCCCCCCCCCCCGCCCAGCCTCACTAGACTGTGGGCTGTGGGGTCTGTGCCCTGCCTTGTCCACTCTGGAGCCCTCCTCACCCAGAATGGTACCCAGCACATGGCAGGTGATACATTGTAAGGGATAAATTTGTTGGCTAAATTAAGTGTCCTCTCCTCAACTCAGAATATTCAAGAATCACGAGTGAATTGCTTTAGAATCTCAATGGCCTAATAAACCCACACTTGCATGTTAATCCTGATGATCCCCAACTCTCAAATGGAAGTCCAGTGCGCTCTGGGGACGGATGCCATTCTTAAGCTCTCCCTCCCTCCGTGGGTCTGATTCAGGACAGTAACCACTTTCCCTAAGGCTCAGAGGTCTTGACGGGTTCAGACTAGCTGTTGGGGGAAACTGGGGCATCTTCCTGTATTTACCCACCTACACGAGGCCCCTGTCCTCCTCCATCTCCTAACAATGGCCCACTTCAAACTCTTTTGAGCAGGCACTGTGCTGCCCCCTTCTACAGAGAGGTGGAATTCCTTTGTCTAAAATCACCTCGCTTCAGGGCTGGGCCGGGCCTGGGACCCAAGGAACTGGGCCCCAGAGCCACACCTGTAACCACTGTGTCCCCCAACGTTACATCCTGAGCCACACCACAGATCTCAAGGAGATTCCAGGGACTGTCAGAGGAATTGACCCCACCAAGGAGAGAGACCTCAGCAAGCCGCTGAGTCTCTTGTTCCTAACAGGGTCTCATCCTGGGGTGTGGGCTGTGGCGGGGATGGAGGAGGCCAAAGGGGCCACTGAGAGGAAGTCCGAGGCACTTGGGAAGGCATGCATCTTCAGGGCCAGGTCTGCAACCCAGCCTCGTTTCTATTTCCTTTCTGTCACCCAGAGACCCTAAAAGGACACAGCTATGGGGAAGAGGGACTCTGGTACCCACATGGGCCTCTCTGGCCTCCACTGCCAGCCACTAGCCCATGCTCACCTCTGCCGCTGTAGGGAGGAGGTCCTCTCAGGGACGTAGCTGGGTCCCCCGTGGTGACTGTCCCCGCTGCCCCCGCTGCCTCCCCGGGCCCAAGGCAGAGCCCCTCCAGCTGCCGAGGAGCCCCCAAACTGTTGGAGCTTGGAGCTGAGTTCACTGATGATGCTGGCTTTTACTGTGGCCAAGGCTGAGGCCTGAGGCTGGGTCAGAGGCCCAGGCAGGGGTGGTGGTGGCGGGCCGGGGCCCTCCTCCCAGGGCAGCAGCTTCCGAGGCAGGGAGGAGGCCGTCGGCAAGGGCACCGGTGGGACTTCTGGCTCTACTGCCACTGAACCCCCAGCTACACTTGCTGTCGAGGGTCCTGAGCAAGCACTCAGGGCCAGCAGCCCATCAGTTCCAGCCCCTGTCACCGAGACGGTGGGGCTGGTAGGGGTGACAGGGTCTCGCAGTCCCCCACTGGGGCCAGGCCGCAACCCTCCACTGGCCCCCAGTGCCCGGCTCCGGAGCTTAGAGGGAGTCATGAGCTGTGGGGGGTACGGTGGGCCAGGAGTCCCGCTCCCCCCGAAGGCCTGGCCGTCCAGGTAGGCCACATAGGTGTCCAGAAGCTCGGGCCCACTGGACACACCAGCCCCACCCCCGCCACCTCCACCACCCCCTGCGCTCCCACCACCTTCAGCAGACAGGCTGCTCAGCGTGGATGCACTACTGATGGTCTCCAGGGGGTGGTCGCTGCTGCTCCGACTGTCCACCTCCTCAATACCAGAATCCGTGCCTGGTGGAGGGTCTGGACCCGGCTGAGGGACTGGGGGAGCCGGTGCTGCTGGGGCCGGAGGGCCTGGCGGAGGGGGGTCTCCAGGAGCTGAAGGAGCCCCCTGGGTCAGTGTGGCCACCTCACTGTCGTAGGACGTCAGGCTCGATGCGGTGGAGTCCAGGGTGGGAGGGGCGGGGGCCACAGCCGGGGGTGGCACCGGGGGTAAGGGAGTGGCGGGGGTGGGAGGGTCCGGCAGCGGGTGCGGAGGCCCAGGCGTGAGAGGCGACTCTGGCTTTTCGAAGCTGTTGGAGAACTCCAGAGGCGGAGGCAGAGGTTCCACAAAAAGGAATTCGCCGTCGTCCACGTCCACCGAAGGAGCGGGCGGCGGCAGGACCAGCAGGGGGAGCCCGTTCTCCTCGCCGCCCCGCGGGGAGGTGGGGGAGGCAGGCACGGAGCGGCGCGGGCTGGGCGGCGGGACTCCGGGCCCATCTTCCGACGGGGGCCCCCGTCCGCCCGACGCGGTGGCCCTCGGCTGGCAATTCTCGAGGAACCGCACGTGCAGGGGCAGCCTCTCGGGCTCTTCGGGGGCTCCGGACCGCCAGGCCTTGCTCACGGCAGGGTGCGGGGCCGGGGGCTCTGGCCCCAGCTGCAGCAGGAGCGGCCCGACCCCAGGAGCTGTGGGGGGCAGGCGGTGCAGCAGGGAGCGTCGCGCGGCCGGTGGACTGGCCGGGAGGGACTTCTCCTGGCTGCCCAGCCCTGCCCGGTACCCCAGCTCCCGGCGCGCGGGGTCGGGCGGCGAGGCCCCCCAGAGGCGCAGCACTGGCTCGTGGTGGGCGTGGGGCGAGTGGTGGTGCGGGGTGGGCGGCGGGGCCTCGTAGCGCGGCGACGGGGGCCGGGGAGGAGGCTGGGGCGCCCCGCCGCCCTCCGAGGACTCCTTCAGCGCCCGCTCGCGGGCGGCCAGGGCCAGCCCGAGCGGGGAGGCCGGATCCAGGGCCTTGCCGGTCAGCGGGTGGACCAGGGGTCGCGGGGGCAGGAAGCTGGTAAAGGCGCTGCTGCCCCCGCTGCCCCCGTAGGCGCGGCCGCCCGCTCCGTAGCCCCCGTAGCCCGCGCCGCCGCCCGCGCCCGCCGACTCCAGCCGGAGGTAGGGCTCGGCCGAGAACATGCCCTCGTCGATGGATTTGGAGTGGCGCAGCCGCGGCCCCGGGGGCGCCCCTGGGCCCAGCCCGCCGTCGCCGCCGTCCTCGTCCCCCGCGTCGGTGGACAGGAAGAGCGTGGAGCGCCGGCGGGCCTCGTTCTGCCAGCCCCCTTCCCTCCGGGCCGCCCCCACCAGGGCCGCTCCGAACTGGCTGGTGAAATCTAGAGTGGCCGGGCCGCTGGGCGAGGCGGGGGTGGGCACGGGCGAGGGAGACGGCGGCACGGGCGACACGGCCGGGGCGGGACTCGGCGAGGAGCCGCCGCCGCCGCCGCCGCCGCCGGCTGCCTCGGGCTGGGTCGGGGGCTCGGCCTCGGTGCTGCTGCCCTGGCTGCTGCGGCCGCTGCTACTGGTGGACGGAGCCTTGATGATGATGGTGGGGATGGGGATGGAGTTTTTCTCGGAGGGCGCGGCCGCGGCTGGCGGCGGCTGCGGGGAGGCGGGGGACGTGGGCGACGGGGCGGGCGGGAGGCCACCCTTCTGGGGCTCGCCCTCCACTTTGGTCTGCTTGACCAGCGGGCCCTTGCGGCCACGGCCGGAGCGGGCTGGCACGTACATGGCCGCGCTGGCCGCCCTGGGCGGCAGCTGAAAGTAGCGCAGGGCCGGGGCCTGGGAGGAGCTGCTGACCCCGACCCCGCTACCGTGGTGTGAAGGGGACGGGGCTCCAGGGGTCGGGCTGGGCCCGCCGCCCCGCCAGCCTCTCAGGCTCGGCTGGGGCCCCAGAGCCAATCGGGGAGGGGGGTCGTCCGGGGAGCCACCGGTCTCCATCTCTGGGGGGTGAGGGGGGTGGGCGTGGTGGTGGTGGGGCTGGGGGGCTGGGGCGTGGTGGTGGTGGTGGTGGGGCGGGTGGTGGTGGGCAGGGGGGAGGGGGCCACTGTGGTACAGGCTCTTCTCACGGCCCCCCACGCGGGTGTCGGGAAGGGAGGGTCCATCAAAGGACGCGGGGGAGGAGGCGGGGAGGGGTCCACCTGAGCCTGGGTTGAAGGGGCCACCCCGGGGGGAGGGGGTAAGGCGGCCGGAGGTGGAGGGGGCCGGAGGTGTGCTGTAGGGAGGCTCTGGTGGGGACGTCGTGGGTGGTGGGGGGATGTCCTCCGAACCAGGCACAGACAGGCTGCGGCTAAACTTCATGGCTGGGGGTGCTAGGTAGGGTCTGTCATCCTCTGCAGCCCCTAGGGAGACAGAGAGAATCCAGGATGGGGCCTAGGGGCAGGAGTCTCCCGCTCCCCTATCCCATAGAAGACAGAAGCAGTAGTAGGGATGGTGGTGATGATGATGATGATGATGATAACGATAACCTAGTATCACATGCTAAAAATTTCAGATATTAGCCCAACGCCTCCAATTGATACACGTTGTGCACTGCCCAACAACAAACAGCAGAGGGAGGAAGAGGGCACGGGGAGAAATTCATCTGAATTTCCTCCTGGAGCCATGAGGGGGCGCCTTTTTCTAATTTGCAGAAAGGCTGCGTGCGGTCTGCTGGTGGTGGCTTGGGGTGAGCCAAAGTAGCTGGAGCTGGGAAGGGATCGCCGTGATTATGGGGGTAGTGTGTACTTCTTTTCATGTATATGCAGGAAGGAAATGCAGTCAGCGCCTCAGACCTGTGATTATACAGGTAGAATGCGCAGGGTGCAGCCAATGTTTAAGAGAAGTGATGGAGAAAGCACTGGGCACACAGTGAGACGCAGACAGACCCCAAAGATGCAAGACTCGGGGAGACTGTGAACACTGGACGCTGGGGAACAGCTGGATCCAATGGGCAAACCTCTCTGGGAAGCTTGGAGGAGTTAGGTCTTTGCCTGCTCATCAACTGTCAGGACTGTCTTTGACCCTCTCACCTGTTTCCCATCCCGCATCTGCCCTCCTCCCAACCTGTTGTCAACTCCCAGTTGACTAAGGGCCCCATCCTCTCTTCTGAGCACTAATCCTATATCCAGGAATGCAAAAATGTCCAAAGCCCAGAGCAGCCACCTGTTCCATCCAGGTCACACAGCTCAGGAGAGGAGCCAGGATTCACACCACACTTCCCCAGTTCCAAAGTCTGAGCTCTTTGCCAGACCTGACAGAACGTGGTCACATGTGGAAGTAGAAAACACCTCCAAGCGCCCTTGCTTGACACGTAAATGATCAGCCACCCACCCCATGTCCCTCACATGCACCCTTCCAGGGACATACCGATGGATTTTTGCCGGAGCATAAGCCCAGGTCCCGGAGGCAGGAAAGAAGGACGCTCATAACTTGGCTGGGAGCGGTGGTGGGGATCAAAGCTCGACTTTGGGGCGGCAGCCAGCAGGAGAGGAGAGAGCAGAGGAGAGTCAGTCAGGGCATGGAGCCTGCCGGCTGCCCACACAACCACCCCACATTCTTCCCCCAGAGCTCGACAGGCAGGGGGGACCGTGGGGAGAAAGTGGAAACACATCTAAGTCAGGGCAAAGTTTTTAGTGTGGGCAGGAGGAGAAACGACGGAGAATAGAGCAGATGAGCAGCCAACCCCATGGCGCTACCATCACTAAGCTGGGCAGTTCCTGCCGTCACTTCCTGTGCCCATGTCCCCACTGGCGCTCACCTGGAGGGCAGCAGGAGCCTCTTTTTTCCTACTCCTGCCCCTACTTATCCCCACACCCCTTTCTGGGTTGCTGGTCATACAAAAGTCAAAGGGATGTTTTGAGAAGAAATTCAGGGCACGCAATTGCCCCGCCTGGACTTCTCAAGCAGCATCCCATGTTGGTTAGAAGCAGATCTGAATTCCCAATTCTGGTCTGCTGGTGCCCTGCAGACCCCTCCCTTCGAGCTCCCCGCCGTGGGCGGCTCCTGCTGGCAGCACCAGAGAATCGCAGGTTCCCCGAGGGAGCCAGCTTCTTTCTCAGAGCAGTGCCCAGGAGGGACTAGTAAGGCACAGGCACAAGGCAGGTCTGGCTCCGGGGTGCAGCTTACACTCCAGAGCTCCTTGTGGGATCAGGCTGAAGAGACTCCAGTGGGGACCAGTCTGCTGGCGTCACTCTCTGAAGGTTCCACCATAGCAAACGGCCGGCACGGGAATCACCATCTTGGGCTCCCATTCCAGATGACCCACACTAAGACGCCCTCTGTCACCCGGCCCTTGCCTGCACCTCTCACTTGTTCCCTCTGTTCCCACCACACCCCACCTCTTCTGCACCTCAACACCCCAGCTCTGTCCTGGCCTAGAGCTGACAAGTCCTGGCTCTTCTCCCTGCAGCCTGTCCTCCCCTGTCTCATCATCCTTTCATCTTTGACTCCTCCACCCCACCGTCCTCTGCCTGTCCCACAGCTGTCTGCCATGTTTTCCTGTCGCGCCTGTCTTCATCTGAAATGACCTAGTTCACTTGCTTGCTCTCTGTACCAGCCTCTAACACGGAAGCTCCCTGAAGGCAGGGCAACCTCTCCCGGCACTCGTGCTACCAGCTCTAGGGCCACAGTACTGCCAGGGGAAGTGTTTTAATGTCTTTTAAAAAGCAGAAGGAACAAAAGGAAGACAGGCCATCAACAGTCATCCTTTGGTATCCACGGTGATTGGTTTCAGGACCCCAGTGGGTACCGGAACCCATGGAAGCTCAAGTCCCTTATCTAAAATGGCACAGTATTTGCATACAACCTAGGTACATCCTCCTGTATACCTCAAGTCATTTCTAGATTATCTATAATACTTATGAGAGTGCAAATGCTCTGTAAAGAGTTGCCCTACTAATATTGCTCAGAGGGTAATAAGAAAAACGACATGTTTGGTACAGAGGCCATTTTCCCCCCACATGTTTTCAATCTGTAGTTGGTTGAATCAGAGAATTTGGAAATTGAGGGTACAGAGGGCCAACTGTATTTGCCTTTGTACCCACATAAGCATGGAATATAGGAGGGGCTCACAGAGGCAAAGTTCCCAACGCTCGGGGAAGTAAAAACAGAAATCTGCCTGAGGGCAGCCACGGGCAGCCCTCTCCCCTGCCTGATGCTCCACAAGCAACGGGTCAAATGAGGGTGACTGACCGAGAACCAGCCAGCGTCCCGCGCTGCTGGCGTACACTCCCCAGCTTCTGCCTGGTGGCCCTAGATGCCTCCCTTCTCCGTTTTCGAGACCAGAAGTGCAGAGACAGAAAACCGGATCAGGACAAAGTTCCCGCCTTTGGGACAGGACTCTGGGTGGCCACCAGGCCCCTCCTTTCCCCTTGATCCAGCTTCTGCGTTTCCTGCTTCAGAGCCTCAGCATTAGCCGGCCCCTCTGCCTGGGACAGCCTTTCCCTGTATTGCTGCTCTGCTTGGGAAGACTCCCCTCCATGCTGGCTGGCTGGCTCTCCTGGGCATCTGTGCAGTCTCAGGGCAGTCATTGACCATTTAGATGTAAATTTCAGTCTCTCTATGGCACTGGCTACTGGTGGCTACCATGCTGGGTGGCACAGATGTGGCACATTTCCATCATCACAGGAAATTCGACTGGACCGCCCTGGTGGCCCTGGTGCAGTAGAGCCCAGACCTTCCTAAGGTCTGGGCCACCTGTCACTGCACTGCCTTCCTGCATTGGTCCTGATTCTGTGTTTGTCTCATTCATTCTACAAATATTTACTGAGCACCTCCTCATGCCAGGGCTGATGTGAATGCTGTAGATGCAGCAAATTCGACAAATGTCCCAGCCACATGAAGGGCAGGCAAGCCATAAACAAAATAAGTCAGTAAAATATAATGGGTTGACGAAGGTAAGTGGAAGTATATGTCACTTCTGGGACGTCTCTTTAGCCATAACCCAAGAGGCAGCAAGGTGCCCTTTCTTGCCTTTCTGCCTTTCAACCCTGCAAAGTTCCTGTTACTTGGAATTGCTGGTGCAACAGCTAGAGCTCCAGCAGCCCTCTTGGGCTCTACATCTGCTTTGCAGGCAGAAGCAAAGCTAAGATACTGGAGCAGAAAGTGAGAAGAACCCCAGGTCTCCCTTACCATGAAGGCTGCCATCTTCCTGGGAATCCCTACCCCCAGACTTCTCTAACATGAAAGAGACATGAGTATTTACCTTGCCAAACCACGGTGATCTGGAAATTTCTCTCACATACAGCAGAACCCAATTCTGCCCCATCCCACCCCGCACGTGTAAGTTCTCTGAAGGAAGTGACCTCACTTGACTGGTTTACTCCTACAACCTCAGACCCTAGCAGTGGGTGCTCAATAAATACGTATAAAATGCAGAATTGTTTGAAGGCCATACAAGACCCACTGACAAGATGTGAGTGAACCCTGAGGGCAAAACAGTCCTGTCCTTCTGAACATCCCATCAAACAGCATAGCGCCAGCTCCCAAAGGGCACAGGACGGTGTCTTCCGAGCTGTGACCACTTCCCCTCCTCTGTTCTCCACTGAGTGGTCTCAGCCACCCAAGTCTCTCAACCTTGCTCAAACTTCTTCTCCTGCCAAAGGCCCTGCTTGGTTTCCCGTCCTTTCCTGCGGCTGTCTGTCTCAGGGAACAGAACCCTGTGAATGGTAAAGGTATTATTCAGAGGTGCAGAGAAAGAGGAGGGGCAGGTGAAGGGGACATCTTTGTGTGAGCCACTGGCCAGCTGCTTTCTACACAGGTCCCCCTAAGCCCTCAAACTCCTGATCTGGGGTCAATGAGGCTGTTCTGATGATCATGAAAGAGGCTGTGGATCAGAGGGGACAAGGATTTTGTCCTAGATCAGCCGGTGAATGAGGAGAAGATTAAAGAGGTATTGGAGAAAGCAGACCAGGGTGGTGGGAGAGCCAAGATCAAATACAGGTGGAAAGAGAGGGGAGGAAGCTGAAGCAGACGTGGGGCTGTGGAGGTGGAAGGCAGGGGAGGAGGGCAGGAGGCAGGAGGGTGGGGAAGGGCCCGGAAGAGCCAGGGGACTAGTGGGGTCAGGGAGATGGGGGTCGGGTGAGAGCAGCTGGGAACTGTTTGGAGTGATGCCCAGGCAGTCAGGGCGACCGATAAGCTTCAGGGTGAGAGCCCAGAGTGTTCCTGGCTGAAGAGGGTGAAGATCAGTGAAAGACCCTTCAAGGTGTTAGAGGAAGGAGAGAAGAAGATAAAAGAAGGGTCCGTTTCAGAGGTGTCCGGCGGAGACATTATACCGTTGGAGGCGTAGGTCTGACAGCCTGCGGGGAGAACTGGCTTCCAGATGTGGCAGCCCACCTCCATCACCAAGCCCAGGGCATCCTCTCCCGCGCAGGGCGGCAGCCAATCAGAGTGCGCCAGCGGCCCGTGACGTCACTGGCTGCCGGGCAAGATCCTCCTTAGAAGGAGTCGGCCCGAGGGTCCAGCTCTCCCGTGGCCTGGGGGAGGGTGCCCCGTGGCAGAGTGTGCGTCCTCCTGCTGGGGCGCAGGCTGCCAAGGGGCTGGGAAAGAGGATACAGCTCCTGAGAGGGGTAAAGGAGGCAGAACCATGGGTGTGGGAGGGCCCGGAATGGAGATGGAGGGGCAGATGGGGGCAGAGAGGGAGGTGGGGGCTCAGAAGGGCGGGAAAGACTGGGGGACAGGAGGGGAAATGAAATGCAACAGGGAGAAAGAGGGGCCCAGAGGGGCGAGCCTGGTAGGCCTGGAGGCGGGGAGGGCTGGGGCAGTTCCAGGCCACTAGCCCAGAGTGATGAATATAATTAGAGGGAGAACCTTAAGTTGAGAGAAAGGCTGAAACTAGCACCCATACAGAGACTGGGGGGACCAGAGAGCAGAGACAGTGTTCAAGAAAGTGAAAGCCATGCAGAAGGACAGACAGGCGAACAGCAGATCCCTCGGAGGAGACATGGCCTGGGCCTTGGCCTTGATCTGCCTGGGCTCTGTGCCCCCACTGCAGCCGTGGGTCTCCCTCCCCACCCCTTAGGCTGAGTGTAACAATGTCCTGGGGAATTGAAACCTCTCAAGGCCCGAGTGCTGCCTCTAGTACAGACACAGAGGGGTCCACACGAAGGATGAAGAGGGAGAGAAGCAGAGGTGGAGATACAGAGGAGAATAACTCCCAGAAATTCGAGAGGCCAGTGAGATGCAGAAGCCTCCATATTGGCTGCCGGAGCAGGAAAGATGAGGTTGGCAGGTGGGGTGGAGCAGAGAGGGGCAGAGAGCCCCACATAAGAGGAGCTTTAGAGAGGACCCAGGGACAGATCCAGGGAGTGAGAAAAGAAACAGAGGTTCTACTGGGCAGATGGCCACAGGCTCCTGGACTCCTGGACAGGGAGCAACAGGAGGACTCAGAGAAGAAATCAGGCGAACACCATGAGCTTCACTTCTAGGGGGAGAGAGCAGGTGGGCATCTGGTTTCATTACTGGCTGGTGGCTGAGCCCAGCTGGGTGGTCTTTGGAGCTCAGATGACTAGTTCAAGGCTCGGGATTTTGTCTCTCCTGTAACCAAGTTCACACTGTGGCCCCCACACTGGGGCTTCAGGGCACTTCCTGGGGGCTCCATGTATTTGCTGAATGAATGAAAGTAAGATTTGCTTTCACTAATCTGATATTCACGAGTCTCAGTGGGGTCTCTCATCAACACCTTGCCATGCTAGAGTTACCCTCCATTAAGCTTCATCAGAATGGGCAAGGTCAGCTCTGACCCCATGTAACAGAAGAGGAAGTTGAGATGCAGAGAAATGAAGTAATGTGGCCAAAAGTGGCACATGAAGTTAGAAGGATTTAAATGCACATTCACCTAACAGGTGAATTACAGAATTTCTGGGGTCTGCGAACCAAGGGAAACACCTGGGGCAGATTCACAGGGAAGAACATTCGGAGAGAGCAGAGGCTGAGATGCCTCTGGAAGGAAAGGGAGGAAAGGAAGCCTGAGGAAAGAAAAGCCATCACGTGCCAGCCCACCAGCAAATCCTGAATGAGTGGGGGAGGGAACAGGATCGGAGTCCATTGAGGTTGAGACTCTTTTAGCCTCAGAATGGTGAGGCAGTGGTGCTCAACCAGAGGTGGCTTTGCCCAACCGGCAACAGTGGGTCATCTCTGGGGACAGTGGTGGACTGGAGGCAGTCCTGGAGGATCTTCCAGGGACGCTGCCAGACATCCTACAACACACAGGACAGGTCCCGCAACCCAGAGCCATCAGGCCCCGAACACAAACAATTCTGGTTATCTGTGGTAGTTAGGGTCTGTAAAGTCAATTTGCATTTTTGTCAACCTGTCAGTACGTCACCTTGTTTGTATGTGTTCCTGTAGAGACATACCTTACTTAATATAGTTTGTGGATTGGCATTAAACTCACCGCCAGCAGCACCACAACTCATGCCTGAGAAAGCTCGTCTCCATAAGGCACATCACGGCCTTCCTGCACTCAGAAATACTAGGTGGCATTTCAGAACTATACTTGGGGGACATTTCAAACACTGAAATCGCCAAACAAAAGGCACAAAGATGAAAAAAAAAATCCATGGTATGAAATCAGTGACTCTAGGGTGCCAGTCTACAGGGGTGTGCACTGGGCAGAGCGCTGGCTTAGTCCACCTTAGTCAGGAGCACGCATGTTGGGTGACTTGAAAATTCTGCGACTCTGTCCATGTCCATGATGAATCACAGAAAGACCCACAGATATTGATTTGGGGGTCCAATTAAATTTTAGTGAGCAGGTGAGTTTGCAAATGTAGAATCCTCAATTACTGAGGATCCAAGAAACCCTGGTGTGTGTCAAGAGGACTTGGACCTCGGCTCTGATTGAACGTACATTGGATGAGAGATCTAAGGCCAGCAAATTCAAATCTCTGAGGCCCTCTATTCATCCTCTGTTAAATGGGGATGTTTCTCTCTCTCCTGCCCTTCCCTCCTGCCCTGAGAGAAGTTTGCTGGTACCAGATGGTACCAGAGGGTGAGGAGAGAAGACCACAGACAGAGAAAACAGTGACAAAAAGCTAGGAGCCCAGAGGGAGTAGATTTGGGCCTCATATAAGGAAGAACTTTCTGGAAGCCTGTCCACACATAGAAAACAGGAGGTGATGAGCTCTGAAGACAAGAGCTCTTTGTCTTCAAGCTCGGGCTGGAAGAGGATTGAACCAGTAAGTGGTAGAGAGAATCAATTAAAAAAAAAAAAAAAAAAAAGAGGTGGACTAGATTCTGGCTGATGCTCCCAGATGATGGCCCAGGAATCTGTGCAACTCAGAGCTGGATGCGAAATTTCAAAAACCCCAGAGTGAAAGTTTTGGGAAGTGGGGAGATGATTTGCTCCAGATCAGAAGGTGATAGAAAAGCATCTCTGAGAAGAGGGAGGAAGAGCTGGGCTCTAGGGAGGCCACTATTTGTTGAGAACCTGCTACGTGAGGAGTTGGGCTCCTTTAATTCTCCTAAAAAGCAATACAGTCATCTTTCACCCCATTTTACAGAGCAGGAAAGTGAGATGCCCAGAAATTAAGTAGCATAATCCAAAATGATATAGTTAGCCAAGGAAGTCAGGATTTGAAGTCACATCTCCCTGACTTTCATGGCCACGTTTTGTTTTGTTTTTGCACCAGGGATTGAACCCAGGGGTGCTTAACCACTGAGCCACATCCCCAGCCCTTTCTGTTTTTATTTTGACACAGGTTCTCACTAAATTGCTTAGTGCCTTGCTAAATTGCTGAGGCTGGCTTTGAATTTGTGATCCTCCTGCTTCAGCCTCCTGAGCCGCTGGGATTACTGGCATGTGCCACCGTGCCTACGCTCCGCTTGACCATGCACTTTTGAACTTTTGAACTTGTGGGGAGGTGAGCATGGAAGATAGACTCACAGCTGCAGGGATTTCAAACTTCTTTGGAAAAGGGCATAAAGACAGGGCCTGTTGCTTACAGGCACTCCCCCAAGCTCTGAGAAGTGGCTAAAGACCTACTGCCTCTAAACTGGACAGAAATTCCAGGAGTCCTGGGGCAAAATTGGCCACCAGTTCTTGAATCTCGTGAAAGTATGAGACCCTCTATAGGATGCGGCCTAACCCTTGGGGAGGCTGTGGGTAGACTTCAGGCACAACTGTGCACTTAGACAGGAATAAACTACAAGTCTTTATTTTTACATCCTCCAGTGAATATTCAACTCTTCCTCAATTAAGGATGTAGGCAACAAACTCTGCTAGTCTCAGCAAGACCAGCGCCTACATGCCCAGTAGAAATCACAGGCATTTCCATATCCCATCACAGTGGTACGCAGTTCTCAAAATAGTGTTTATGCTCCTCATGATTTTGAAATTAGAGTAGTTAAGATCCACCACCAGATCTTGTGTTGACAAAATGGGACCAATATTACGATATCACAAATTTTGCCTTTTAAAAATATTTTAAGCCAGGCATGGTGGTGCATGCCTGTAATCCCTGCAGTTCAGGAGGCTGGGGCAGAAGGATCACAAGTTTGAGGCCAGCCTGGGCAACTTAGGGAGACCCTCTGTCTCAAAATAAAAGGAGCTAGGGATGTAGCTCCGTGGTATAGTACCCCTGGGTTCAATTTCTTGTACTGCAAAAGAAGAAAGTAATAATAAAAAATTTGATTACTATTTTGGTGTAACTGTCCTTTTTTTAATTGTACACATTTTGCATCTATAAGCATTATTCTGAGACAACTGATCAGCCTGCCAAAGGGGACCATGGCCCCTAAAAGCCAAGGAACCCAGCTCTAGAGTAAATGGCCCCTTGGCCACCAGATGGTAGGTGTGACCAGAGGGCAGGACCTGGGCAGAGAAGGAGGAGGGCTCAGGGAGAGTTAAGGCAGTGGGTGGCCTCAGGAGGTGACTGGTGGAGGGTGGGGTGAGGTACTGTCAGATCTGGGGGTGGGGGGACATTGGTGTCAAAGGCACATCTCAGAGAGTACACAGCCAGGGAGAAGCCAGCAGGGTTCTTCCAGAAGAATCCAGGCTGAGACTGGACTATGAGTCTAGGGCCTGACTTCCTGGGTTGGAATCCTGTCCCCTTCTCTGAGCCTCAGCTTCTGTAAATGGGCTAACAAGCGTATGTACCGCACAGGGTGATTCTAAGGAACAAATGAGATCATCTTTGCCAAAAACAGCATCCCAAACTGATCAACAGCCACCTTCCAGAGGTCACCTTCTAGTGGGGAAAGGCTGCAGAGAAGGGACAAAAATAATAATTCATACATATGTTTTTGGAGATGAGGGCTCACTGTGTTGACCAGGCTGGCCTTGATCCCCTGGGCTCAAGCAATCCTCCAACCTCAGTCTCCCAAGTGGCTGGGACTACAAGTGTGTAGCACCGTGCCCGGCTTAATGATTAATATTTCAACAACTACCACTTGTTGAGCAGCTGTTATGCCAGGATCTCCATCTATGATATCATTCTGCCTTCCCTGAGACCCCCGAGGAGCAGAGACAGGCAGGACAAGAGAACTAACATGAGGAGCAGGAGTGGCCAGTAGAGCGAGGCTATGAGAGACTGGATTTGCGGGAGAATGAGGGGCAAGAGGACGGGCGGAGAGAAAGGGAGCCAGCAAAGTGGGGAGAAAGGAGGGGACCCAGGAAGTGATGTCCCTCCAGGGCTGGCATGAAGCACAGGCAGTCAGGAAGCCTTTTGGAAGGGGAGAAGAAAGGGGCTCCAGGGCGGCACGTGCACCCCGCTGTTTCCTCCCCACCCCAGGCTGCCTACCTCGGTGGCAAAGAAGCCTTTGGGCCGGTGCTTGCCCAGGGACGCCAGGCCACCAGGCCCAGGACTCTCGCTTGCACTGATGGTCTGTTGAGCTGCCGCCAAGATTTCGTCCAGTTTGTCTAGACAGAGGCAAAGGTGGGTGGGTAGACCGAGAGATGAAGTTTGCTCAGACCCCGCCACAAAGGCAGAGCTGGCGCGTGTGTGGGGGAAGCCCGAACAGCGTTGTGAAGGAACCAGAAAAGGGCTGCTATCCTCCACCCCGCGCACCGGTAGTCCTGCTGGGAGACACCTCTGCCCGCAGCAGGCAGGGCCCAGCGATGGGAAAGAGTGAGGCAGAGAGTAGGAGAGCCCTCAGGGGAGGGGGCGGGCGGCAGACAGAGGGAAGGGGTGAGATCGTGGCATGGCTGGGGTACAAGACACGCGCTAAGTGGAAGTGGCTGAAGGGCGCGGGGAGAAAGAGTGAACGTGGCGCCCAGCAGGGCCGAGGGGTGGGGCACGCGGGCAGACCCGGAGCAGAGCTGGTCATCTTACTGAGAGCCATCTGATACACGGTCCGCTTTTTCTCCATGCTGGGCACTGGCGCAGGCTGCTGCTCGTACTCTGTGGGCAAAAGAGACGGATGAAGCCCAAGGGCGCCCCAGCGGACGGGGCGGAGCAGGCTCGGCCCGTGGGCGTGGCTAGCAGGTGCAGGCCGGTGGGCGTGGCCAGCGGCTGCGCAAGCGCGAGTGGGGGCAGTGAGGGGCCGGGGGTCAGGGAGGGGCGAGTCCACCGGCGGGATCGGGAGACAGGGGCCCTCCCGCCAGTCCTGTACCCACTCACCACTCTTCTTCTTCCAAGGGGAGACTAGCCCGGGGGAGAGGCAGTAGAGGAGCCAAGAGTTAGGACTTCAGGGGGAGGCGAGAGCCCCCTCTCTGGAACGCCCCCCTCCCTCAGGGCCCCGGGTGGCGGGTGGTCAGCTGCCCGACCCGCCCCTGACGGCGGAAACGGGACCCCCCTGGGTCCAATGGGCCCTGTCTGGAAGGAGGGGTTCGCTCTCCTGTGTTATTGGGATTTGGGGGGAGCCAGTGGAAGGAGAGAGAGAGAATGGGGTGGGGGCGAGGTGGCACTGATGTAGGGAGGCCTGAAGGAAAGAAAGAGCGACCCGCAGAGAGCGGGACACATATAGACCCTAAGAGAGATCCCGACAGAGAAACAGAGATACAAGAGGACAGGGGAACGTGTTCTCTCAGCGACACACAGGCAGGCCACAGAGTCTGGCCCATAGATCGGGGAACAGAAGGAGGACGAGGACCCTGATCACTAACAACACTAACAAACTCGAGGGACCGTCCAGCCCCCTCCCCACCCCTCCCTGGCCCTCAGCCCCAGCAGCCCCTCAGGCTCACCCATTTCCTCCAGCTCTGAGGTCATAGACTTGGAACGAAGGGAGATGGCTGGGGGCGGGAGCCGCTTAGCCTGCTGGGGTGCTGAAAAGGCGACGTGGGGGTGGGAGTCATCAGAACCATGGGGACAAGACCCCATGACTTCCTGCCACCACACTGCTCCCAGAGCTAGAGAACAGCACCTCCGGCATGCTGAGCCCTCCCTGCCTCCTTTTGTCCCCAGAAGGGTCATGAACAAGCAGCCTTGGGAAAGTGCAGGCCTTGGGTGGTGGGGACCAGCCATGAAGGCTCCTGAGGGTCTTGATCTGGTATCTGAGATGCCCAGGCCTTGCCATGCAGGTGTGCGAAGTACCTTTCTTATGGACAGCTTCATCCATGTCCGGGTGCCTGGTGACCATCACCACCTTGACCATCAGTGTGTTGCCCCCTTGGCGGATCATGTTTACCACCTGTCGGTGGCCGACCTTCACCACGTTCTGCCCATTCACCTGTGGCACAGGTTTGGATGAGGGAGGATCGTTTTCAGCTTCAGAATCCCAGCAAAGTGGCCTCCTACCCTGCCCTGTCCCCGTCCACCACTCTCCCCTCCCTCTGAACCTCCTCACCATTCCTGCCCTGGCCAGGCCCCTACCCCCTTCCTGAACTCCCTGGCTCAGGGTCCAGGAGGAGGCTCTGCGTACCCTATTCATCCCGGTCCCCTTCTCATCCCCCAGAAGTGTGTGTGTGTGTGCGCGCACACACATACACACACATGCATGCGCATGTGTTGGAGACAGCTCTGTGCCACTCTTTCAAGACACTTCAGAAGAGACCTCAGAGGGAATTGTGGCTGGGGGTGGCCAGGGAGCTGGGAAGCCTGGTGCCAAAGGAGACTCTGGAGTTGGGCAGGCAGATCTTGGTGTGGACTATGAGGGGACTGGGGGCCTGTCATCATGGCCCCATGGAAGAGAGGTGGCAGGACTCACCTCGATGAGGAAGTCTCCCATTCGAAGTCCAGCCCTCCATGCCACGCCGCCCTCGTCCACTGACTCCAGGTACTGCAGCGCCGGGAAGGCCGGGGTGGGGGTGAACTCCTCGATGGGGGTCTGCGCTGCAGACAGGGAGGAGCCGGCGGGGTCGGAGGGGAGGGGGTGGAGAGGCCAAGCAGGGGATGGGGCTCAGACCCAAGTCACGGAGGCCTCACCGTAGCTGAGGGACCAGCACCCCAGGGTGGGGTGGTGGGAGGGGTGGGATCCCTTCCTCTTTCCATTCCTCCCACCCTGGCCCTGCTTCCTGGGTCAGAGAGCCCTGCTCCCAGCCCCTCCCCGGCCGGCACTCACCCTTGGCCCCCCGGAGCACGAACCCAAACCCCTCACTGTCCTTCTTCTGCAGTAAAACTGTCTTCTCCTTAATGATGTAATCGCTGGCAGGAAGGCAGGAGGGATGGGGGTGGAGAAGGGATCATGAGATACAGAGCTGGCGCCCCACCCAGCAACCCGGTGCCCCAGCCCCTGCTCTGCTCCGGGACCATTCACGGCACCTCCTGGGATGTCTCTCCGTGTGCATGTGCTGGCAGCAGCCCTGACAGGCCTCCCCCTCAGAGCCCAGAGTGCTCTCTCTCCCACTCACTCTTTCCTCATTCATCCATCCATGCATCCAGCCACCCATCCATTCAGCAAGTAGTTACGGGGCCCACTGTGCACCAGGAACGCAGAGGGCTGGGGAGAGAAGCCTCCGGAGACCCGCAGAGCTTAGCTTGGGTCCCTGCTAGCCACTTCCTATCTGTGACCTTGAGCCCATGACTTTAACCATTTGTGCCTCAGTTTCCTCACCTATAATGGGGGATAATTACAGACCCTGCCTGATGGGGTCATGAGGGAATTCAGAGTGGGTAACATGCATGGTGCATGGCACAGCGCCTGGCAAAAGCCTGTGTTCAGTGGGACCTGAACACAGGTCACCATCCTGGGATCAAGGTATTAAGTCACAATGACACGTCCTTTGACGAGACCCCCTCTCAACTCCGTTACTATACATTACAGTAACACTTCCTGAGGTCCCCAAGCCAAGTGGGACTCTGCTTGCTTTGTACTACCCAATATGGCAGCCACTGGCTGCATGTGACTATTTTTATGAAAGTTAATCAAAACTAAAAGCATTCAGTTCCTCAGTCACAGTGGCCACATGCAGCTGGTGGCTACTACCATGCAGGACAGTGCTGACACAAAACATTTCCACCGCTGCAGAAAGTTCCAGTGGGCTTTCTTTAGGCCTTGGTAAATCTCAAGTGCATCCCCCGAATGCCATCAGTATGCCCTAGTAAAATGTGAACTCCCCATGAATATGCTGACAGTCCTCAGGAAAGCCACCAAGTCCCACCAGTACATTTGGGCAATGCTCACAAACCCAGTAAATATCAATGAAACTGAAAACTTTGCATTTATATCCCTGCCTGTGCAGGTTTGCTCAGACCACTGTCCCAAACTTCAACATCACTACTGTATACCTCAGCAATGCACAGCTCATCCTCCAGGGAGACCAAGACCCCAGGTCCATCAAGAATGCTCAAACACCCTGGACCCAGACCACTCCCTTCAGAACCCCCAAGAATACCTAGGAGCCACAGAATGCACACCTGTTTGGTCCCAAACATCCTTCAGTAATAACTGGAGCTGGAGACACTGCATACTTGTAGCCCCTCCCCACTGTTCCTCTTGCACGTCCTCAGGTATGCCAACAAGGCCCAGACCCCCTCAGTGTACCCCAGTAACATCCATGCAGCTTCAGCACACTCCAATAATAGCCAAGCGTGCTCCCCAATTACCTACCCCCACAGATTTAGCAAAACAGCCCTCCACGAATACTCCAGTATATTTCAGTAACACCCCCACATATCCCAGTATGCTCCAATAATAACTTCCCCCTCACTCCGATCTCAGTGTATTCCCATAACACACCCCCTGACACATCCCAGCACATGCCAATAATACCCAATGTGCTTCTAGTGTATTTTGGCATCACCCCCACAGGCACCCCTGTATACTCCCATGAACCCCACGAGTTCCACTGTAAAATCTATACATCTGTATCATAGCAACCGTGTTCAGCACGTGTACTGCCAGCCCGTCTCCACCCTCCTTAGCGCGCCTTAATGTGCTCGACAGCACATATGTACACACAGACACATCTGAGCCGCAGCCCTTGCTGGAGAGTTCACCCTGGTCCAATAAACACATCCACACCACACCCACCATGTCTTCCTCCCCCCTGATCTTCTATGCAGCCCAGGGCCTGGCCACCTTTGCAGCTAATGGAGCTGCTGTTGGGAGAGAAGGGCTGAAGGAGGCAAGGTGAGGGGAACAGGAAGGACAAGGGGCCAAGAAGCCTTGGGCGCAGGTACAGTGGGGAGGCAGGGTCAGCAGAAGTTGGTTCTGAGGTCAGGGCTGCCTGCTCCTGACCATGCATTTGGTGACATCCTCATCCCCACTTTTGCCCCGCCCCCAACCTGACAACCTCCTCCAAGCCTTATGTCCTTGCTACTCCCATATCCTTTCCAGCTCTCCAGGCCCCGCCTGCAGCCAAGAGTGCCCATCAGCACCCTTTATCCCTCACCAGCAGCACTACCTCTTTCCTTCATTCATACCTCTCACCCCTCCCTCCCCCACCTTCCCCTTACCCCACACCGTCCTCACTCTCCATCCACAAGCCTCAGAATCCTCCGTCCCACAGCACAATCAGTAAAACTCCATGCTGTGATACACCCAGAGGCACTTGCTATGGGCAGGCAGTACATAAAGCCCCTCACAGGCAAAGCACTCACGTGTCCCCCCACAACCAGCCTGTGAGGTACATGTAAGTACCATTTCCACTCTGCAGGTGAGGGAACAGAGGAAACAAAGGTTAAGTAACTTGCCTGAAGTCACAGGGTGAATAACATTCAATAATATCCAAGAAAATACCCGGGCCACTGCAGTAATAATACCCTCTACTCCATTGCACCCAAATACCTTGAGCACATACACAAAATCACCAGGAAATGTCCTCCTAAAGTTTATCTCAAGTTATGCCAACCACCCAGCGAGTAACACGTATCAAACTGCTAAATGCCACTGTTTTAAGCACTTCATGTTTATCTATCCATTTAATCCTAACATCAGTCCTAGGAGGCATTAGCTGTTATTGTTCCCATCTTACAGATGAGGAAACTGAGACACAGAGAAAAAACTTGCTCAAGATCACACCAGCTACAAAAAAATGTGGAAGCCATGATTTAAACTTCCCACAAGCAGTATGTCCCAATAATCCATATACCCTAAGTGTCCAAACACCCCCAGATCACCACAGCATCCCTCTGTCCTTCCCTCCCAATTCCCACCTCTGAATCCCATAAGGGACCTCTCTCCTTGATCTCATGACTGGGTCACATGGGCCCTTGCTATCTGTGGTGGCCCCCATCCCGCCAACTTCTCAACTGCCCTCTTGTCCCCCAGCTTCCTGCAACTCTGTATTTCATCTCCCCTGTCCCCTCCCCCTGACCTCACTCCATACCATCTTGCAGTTCCTCCTCACCCTAACCACTCCACCAGCCTGCACAGCCCTCTGCAGACCCTCATCCCACCCCAGGGGACCATCTTTCCACCTCCCACATTCCCTTCCCCAAAATGTCCTCCTCAGGCTCCTGTGACCTCCTCACCCTATCCATGCCACCTCTCCCTGCTTTCCTTAGCCTCATCTCTCCAACGTCCTCTTTGGCCTCCTCTGTATGTGTCCCCTAAATCACCCCCAGTTCCTACTTTCCACCCCACCGGTTCATCCATGGGAAGCTCTCCTCCTTGCATCCTCAACTCAGTTCCCCAGCACCCACCGAGCACCCTCCAGCACCCTCCGCAGCTCTATTCACAGCTGCATTCATTTACATTCCCTGCGTCCTCTCCCCTGCTCTCCAGGCTGCCCAGATCCCCACCCGCAAATCCTCTTCGCATTCCCGCATTCCCTCTGTACCCTATTTCCTTTCTTTGCACACTCCACACACCCCATGCTCCAGCATCCACTCCCTACTCCAGCACCCCCACTTGCCCTGTCCCTCCCGCTCCTACTCAGGCCTCTCCACCTTCCCCTCCCCCACATGTGCTATCCACACTGCACCCCATTCACGCTCTCTGGTGCGGACTACCTGCCTGTCAGGAGCTGGCAATGCGCTCTCCCCCAGGCCATCCCTCGGCGTCCCTGAGAGGCCTCTGGAGCTAGGCGGCCAGCTCCTGTTCCCTGGATCCCACACGCGGAGACTGCGGCGTCCACTCCCCCACCCCCACGCGGAGGTCCTTCTCACACACTCAGAATCCCACAGCCCCACGCCTGCGGCTGTACATGGCGCCCCTCTGGTGCTCAGCCCCTCCCCGTGTACCCATATCCATGGGCATCTCCACAGCAAGCTCAGAGGCCCCCACACAGGGAGGCCAGCCCCCTTCTCCATGCTAAGTGGCAAACACAAGCAGATGCGGCTCCCCATGCAGAAGCTCAGCTGTGGCCCAGTACACGTGCCCGGCATGGGCAGAGGGCAGAACCTCTGGCTCACAAGGGTCCCCTCCCACGCAAGACCCCCTGGGGGCAAGAGGAGGGGCACATGGTGATAGAAACACAAGAGGGACCAGTGAAGGGGCTAGTGGGGGAGGGGCAGGCTGGGCACTGGAGGTGGGGTGTTGGGAAACATAGCCGCAGTCCCTGGGACAGATCCACTCCATCTCTCTCTCTCTCTCTCTCTCTCTCTCTCACACACACACACACACACACGCATGCACGCACACACACGACTCCCCAGACAGCCTCACTATAGTTCCAAGTCACACAGAGACAAACACTGTCACACAGGGCCACACAGATGGACACAGCTGTGGGGTGGGCTAGGAGCCCGCCAGCTCCCCATCTCTCTCCCTCTCACACACATACATACACATACGGCTGCAGGCGGTCACACACACGCATATCGACACAGCCATACTGACACACGCACAGTCGCACAGTGACACGCAGCGGAAAAAGAGGAGGGGAGGGGAGGGGAGACTGGGGGCGGATTGCGTGTGTGATGGGGGGACGACTGTGAATGGGAGAGAGGGGTATGAATGGGGGGACTTGCCAACTCTGGGAAGAGGGGCGGGGAAAGGGGGATCAGTGGAACAGGGGCCTGGGGGTGTCGGTGCCTGAGGGAAGCCACTGTGGCTCCCCGGGGAGGGCTGCACAGAATGGGGGCGCTGACGGCGGCAGCAGGGGCAGTGGGTGCCGAACCTGGAGTGGGGTCCGTCTGGAGGGCCAGACTGGGGAAGGGTCTTGCGGAAAGAGGAGAGGGGGCCAGGAACGGCCGGCCGTGAGGGGGTGGAGGACGGTCCCGGGGCTGAGGAGTGTGCGCGGGGGCTCTAGCAGAGGGGCCCAGGGAGCCGGCCGAGGGATCGCGAGGAGGGATGGAAGGGTTCTAGGCCGGGCCGAGGTTAGGGACAGGCAGGGAGGGCAGGGGCAGTCTTGGGCTGGGGGCAGCCCTCGGAGGGGCGCTGGCGGCCGGGCAGGGTCCCGGGAGCGGGCCGGGGCCTCGGGCCAGGCCGCAGGGAAGGGGCGGCGCGCTGGGTTACCTGTAGATGTACCAGACGCTGCGCCGCCGGGGCCCCAGGGCCGGCCAGCTGGAGGAGAGCGCGGGGGGCGGCTGCGGCAGGGAGCCCCCGCCGGGGCCGCCCCCGAGACCCCCGCCGCCGCCGACCGCAGACAAAGCCATCGCCGCCGCGGCCCCGGCCCCGGCCCGGGTCCCGGTGCCGGCCGCCCCCGCCGCCGCCGCCGCCGCCGCGTCCCCGTCCCCGCTCGGCCGAACCCCCGTGTCCGGGCCCCCAGGCCCCGCCTCATGCTGACCCGCGCCGGGAGGGGGGAGGGGGAGGGGGCGCGCACCCCCCCGCGGGAGGGAGGGCAGGGCCGGGGGCTCACATGCCGGGGGGCGCGGGGGCGCGGGGCGCGGGGTCGGGCCGCGGCGGTAGCGCGAGGACCGCGGACGGCGCCGGCTTCAGCACCGCGGACAGCTCCGGAGGCGGCGGCGGGCGGGAGGCTTAACCCCTTGGCGTCCTGCGCCGGGTGGCGGAGGGGGCCGGGCAGGGGGAGGGGGCTGGGAGGGGAACGCGGGGGCCCCCTTGGCGGGAGAAGGGGGAGGGGCGAGGCGCGGGGGGAGAAGGGGGAGGCACTTCCGGTCTGCCCCCCCTTAACCCCCCTCCCCCCTCCAGAGCCCTCCCGCGCAGGTGCAGAGCGAGGGAGAGCGGAGAGAGGGACGCACAACATCACACAAGATGCCTCGCAACCGCGTGCAGGGACGCATGGACAGAGCCTCACTTCCCGGGCAGGGACACCACGGGTGAGAGAGGCCCCGGGAGCGGACACGCAACCCACCACCACAGACCAACACACAAGGCACCCCAACACCGCCTGAAAGGGCCCAGAAAGGAAGTCCAGGACATTCAGACCTGGCCCCTGGGGAGGCAAGACAGCACTCCCCCATGGCCCAGAAGCCCTGCCAGAGGGAGACACACAGCACCCCAAGCCGGCAAGAGGGGAGAGTGGCGCACACCAGGAGGGGGATACACAGCTGGATGGCCCTGCTCCAGCAGGGGTGCTGGGGCCCAGTAGTGGGATGCAGGACAGACAGAGGCCAGGCCAGGTCACCACAGAAAGGGCCAGGTAGAACAGAGGGAAGGCAGGAGGAGGGGGCCTCAGGCACTCCACACACACAGCAGCACAGGGAGCCCCAGGAGCAGTGGAGGAGAAAAGACAGGAACCACAGTAGACAGCAAGACAGGCTAACAGGAGGGGAAGGAGGTAGAGAGTGGACCATCCCCAAACAGCTGGTGAAGCAAGTGACCTCCCAGACCAAGGCCAAGGAGAGGCCCAGAGAGATGTGGACAGAGACAGAAGCAGAGGCCAACTCTCTGAAGCAAGAACACCAGGGGTCGGGGAAACCTTGATACTCACCCGGTGCCCAGAGCCGGAGACGTGCCAGGTGAACACGCACAATGGTCAAGCGCCTCAGACCCTCGGGGCGCAGGGTGGCATTCCAGTCCCACTCCCTCTCCCCATGTTGTCATTTCTCTTCCCACCCCAACCCTGACCCTTCCCCACTGGCCAGAACACAGACACAAAGGTTTGGACACATTTAATGGAAGGACGCTATGAACAAGGAGACCCTTCCTTGGCTTGTGGGGCGGCGGAGGAGAGTGTCATCTCTCAGACACCAGATTATGACCCTCCCTCTCCCACAGCCCTGCCCTCTGGAAGCCCAAGCCCTGGAGTTCTCCCTTCCTCTGCTCTCCCCTCCCCCAGCATTCCAGATCCTGGATTCCAGATCAATCAGATAGATGCAGATGCATGCACACACTCCTCTGTGCTGACACGCACAGCAACATGCACAGACCCACAGATGTGTACAGAGACCCGCCTGTCCACATGTGTGATCAGACACATGAACACTTCTGGCAGTGCTTGCCCACAGACTCAGAGAAGCACAGATATGCAGAGCCAGTTGCACAGTTAGCACAGTCACAAATGCACCCGGATATATCGAGTGGGACAGAGCATTTTTACAGGGACCTCCATCTAAAGGCCTTCCAGCCACACATGCACACGGATGGGTGTCATGCACACCTACAGAGACACACATCCACACATTGGGAAACCTCAGCTCTGGTCGTGCACACGCACACATTCATTCACCCCACAGGCACCCCGTCCTTCCCATCCTGACCCCGTCCCCTCCCTGCCCCTCCCCTCTCACCTCCCTGGGCCAATCCCATCCATCAAGCTTCAGAAGCAAGTCAGCCAGCAGCCAGGGAGGGGAAAGGTGTCAGTGTGCCCCTCTCCCGACCCCATCCCACCTGGCCCTGCCCGTCCCCTCCCTACACCAGTGCAAGGCAGGGGATGCACACACACTTCCACTGCATGTGACTGCACAATGGGGCACATGAAGGAGACCAGAGCCTCCACCCAGCCACACACACGAACACCCCCGGGGTACCCAGCCACCTCATTAGTCTCTGGCTACCCCAAAATGGACAGTCTCAGTGGCTGCCAAGCATGGTTTGAAGTTGGGCTGAGTTGTCTGAAGCCAATGCCTTCTCCCACCCTTGACACCCCTTCAAATTTTGGGAGGAGATGAGATGGGGGCTTAGAGCTGGTGGACATAGCTAAAGTGTGGAGTCTGCAGGAAGACTAGGGCGGGGGGGGGGGGGGCACCTGATAGTGTAAAGACATTTACCTTGGGGCATCAAAGCTGTCGTAGGAGCCCACAGTATAATGCCGGAAGAGTCTCTTTGCTTTGTCACTGCGGCTTTCTGCAGGAGGACAAGGAACAATCTTGAACCCTTGCTTTGGAATCCATGAACCCACCCCAGGCTCCTGGCCTGAGCCTTCCTTCTACCTCCAGCACCCCACCCGTTCCCCAGGAGGGGGAGAGGAAGGGAGATGAGGATTCTAGGGTGTACTGGGGACAGTTGGGAGTTCCTCGTTACCTTGCTTTCCCTCCTGGGAACGGTTTGCCACCTCTTCCAAGCAGTCAGAAGGGAACCAGCCAACACGACCTTTGACCTGGCCTTCCCAGAAGCCTCCTTCCCCGATGCTGAGCACTGGACGGGAGCAGAGACATGGGAACATTTTGATGTGTCTATGCTGCTCCCCAGCCGCCAGCACACTCCTGAACAAGTAGCCTGCCCACAATCCCTAGCACCTGGCTTACAGGCATCCTCAAGAAATGTCTGAAGAAGGGTGAGGGGATCATGGGAGAACCAAACCATGTCACTATTACCTTCAAGATTTCTGGACCCAAGGGGGACATCAAGAAACATAGGAGTGAGGGGAGCTGGGCCTGATGGTGCACGCCTGTAATCGCAGGGACTCCAGAGGCTGAGGCAAGAGGATCGCAAGTTTGAGGCCAGCCTCAGTAACTCAGCAAGACCCTAAACAACTTAGTGAGACCCTGTCTCAAAAAATTAAAAGGTCTGGGGATGGATGTAGCTCAGTGCCAACAACCCTGGGTTCAATCGCCAGTACCAGTTGTGGCTCAGTGGTAGAGCACTCACCTAGCACGTGCAAGGCACTGAGTTCGATCCTCAGCACCACATAAAAATAAATAAAAGAAAGGGATTGTTTAACTAAAATTAAACTTAAAAAAAAAGAAAGAAAGAAAAGAAAAGAGCCATCGGGGGGAAAAGGCATTTCCTGACATGGTCCTCCCAGGTTAGGGGCAGGTCCTCCGTCCTTATCTATCTCCCCTGATAATCAGCCACAGCCAAGCTGTATAATTCCCCTAAATCATCCTAGGCCCTGTGAACTTGGGTGGCCATTGCAAGGACAAGCTGTGCTCCCCCTGCCACCCTGCTTCTGCCACATTCTGAAGTGTCCTTGCCACTTAGTCTTTTATCCTTTCCTCCAGGGCCCTCCCTCTTTGCCTCCCTTGGCTCTAGAAAAAAAAAGAAATTAAAATCTCCTCCTTCCTTCTCCTCGCCACAACTCAGGATGCTTGCTGCCAGCTCCACCTCTTGGCCAGTGGGCACATCTTCACCCTCTGCCTGTTACATGCCTGGCGTTGAAGTACAGAGACGGGTGACCAGGCTAGCAACGTCTACCCAGCTATCACTCTGTGCCAGAACCCTACAGTGAGCATCTTCACTATCGCTGTTTTACTGACAAGGAAACTGAGGCTCAGGGAGCGACATTATTTGCCCAAGGTTCTAGGGCCCGTCACTGGCAGGGTGGCTTTGAACACAGATCAGTTTCCAGAGCTGATGCTTTGAGTTATTAATGTGCTGCCAACTTTTCATCCAAGGCTCGCTGCTGCTGCTGCTGCTGCTGACAAGTGATAGACACTTGTCTTCCCTGTTCTCAGCATTCCTCATGACTCTGTCCCCACTCCTCCACCTCATTCAGTCTTTGCACCCACCCAGGGAGGGAACAACTGTTTTTCCACTTTGTGCATGAGGACACTGAAGGTGACAAAAAAAAAAAAAAAATCCCCTATCTGGAGATGGCTCAGGCCACTCTAGGAGTTGAGATCCTTTTCCCTACACAAACGGCCTCCTTTGATAGGATGTGGGGAATTCAGCTGAGGTGTCCAGGGTCATGGACAAGAGCAGAGATAGCAAGTCCAGGGGCCTGGGTTCCTGGCTGGCTCTGCCATGCTTGGCTGGGCAGTCTTGTAATCAGTCATTTGTTACTGGATGGATACTTATTTAGTGCCAGTCATGACCAGGGTAGATACTGTTGCACACAATCACTGTGGCTCATGGAGGTCCCAGACAAGTGGCTGTTGGAGAAGTAACTCTACAAGCCACTGCAGGATTGGAAATTGAGGCCAGAAATCAAAGGGAAAGAACAGGGTGTTGGGAGAGAGGGCAGATGGGCGTGCATAAACTAGATGGCACAGGGCCCTGGGGTCCCTGAGGATTGACATATTGGCTGGAGAGCTGAAGGATCCCAGGAGTTGAGGAGGCAGAGAGCGGGAGGAAGGGCTTTGCAGGCAGAAGGAAGAGTCTGGCACAGAAAAGGATGTAAAGTGTGTGGAGAGCGGAGAGAAGGAGAAGGTCTCCAGAACCATATGCGTGAAGGAAGAGTGGGCAGGAGGGCGCCGAGGCCAGGGGACAAGGTTGGGCTTTGACTCTGACAGCAGAGGGAGCTGGTGAGGAGCTCAGGGGCCTCACGCATGCAGGCCAGCCTTGAGACAACCAAGTCCCTTTAATGAAAGGGAGATGTGAAAACAGGAGGAAGTGGGTCCTCTCCCTACACAGAAAGACAGTGGAAGATACTGCTCTGGTCTTGGGCACCCTGAAGGTCCCTTGCCCCGGCCTCGGCTCCCCTTTCTTCTTTCCCTCATCCTGTCCCCCCACTTCCCAGGCCACTGGCTCTGACGCATCTTGTCATTCATCCATTCACTCAGCAAATGTGCACTGGGCCTCCTGTGTGCTGGGTCACTAAACTGGGCCTTGGTGACCCAGAGACCAATGACCTGTGACCTCACTGTCTGCAGGAACTTAGACTATGGGGAGACAGACTACAAAGCAGACCAAGGAATCAACCTGGTCCCCACGTGCCTCTTCAGGCCTTCCTTTGCTAGTCTGGGTGGCCGGGCTGTCCTCCTCTAAGTGCCTGAAGTAGGGCCACTTATGACACCAATGGCTAGCCCTTACTCAGGGCTTATTATGTGCAAAGCATTGGTCTAAATGCTTTATAAGACTATTTCCAGCCTTGTAAGGGTCTTATTTTAAAGATGAGGGAACTGAGGCCCACTCAGAAGTGGTGGGGCAGGATTTGAACCAGGCAGCCTGGCTCTCAGCCAGCACACTGCTCCTTCTCCTGGTGTTGACCTTGTGTCTGCAGCTCACCTCCCTCCTCCAAAGCACTGTGCTATCCAAGAACACACCGAAGGCCCGGCCGGGTCTGCATGTGGGGGCCAGTGCACTGTTCTCCAGGGGAGAATGGGAAAACCAGAGAGGCCACCCTGGTATCAGCAGCCCCCACTGACGGAGCCCTGGCCTCAGCCAAGCCTCACACACCTGCCACCTCCTCAGAGCACCCTCCCATTTCTCAGATGAGAACACCTGGCTGCGGCAGGAGGTGAAGTCAAGGGTGCTGGGCTTGGACTGGGGACATTGGGCGCGTCACTTCATCTGTGTCCCTTCACTTATACAATGGGGCTCAGGACCCCTTCCTGAAAGGGCGATCAGACATCTAATGAGACCACGGGGGTGAAATACTCCAACCTAGCTATCAGGGTTCCGCGAAAGTTCCTTCCTCTCCTTCACCTGGACCCTGCTCCTGGCAGGATCCTCTCAGTGTGCCTTCTCTTCCAAGGCAGAGGGACCTCTTGGGGCTCACTGGGGTCCCCAGAGTGCAAGGGACATTCTAGGTGCCTAGGTGCTGCTCAGATTCACCATGTCTCCTCCCAAACGAATGTGGCGCACCTGCCCCCGCCTGGCCCCACAGTGCTGCGTGGCCCGTCCTGTTACCTTTGATCTTCTCGCCCTTGCTCAGGGAGATTTCCCCCTCAGCTTGGGCCTGGTACGACTTGACAGCCATGAAGGAGCGTCCAGGTACCGCTGAGTAGAGCTTCCTCCGCCTCCCGCGGCTGCCCAGGGAGCCCCCAGGGCCCCCTGAGCCCCCTGTGCCCCCGGCTGGCCCTTCCCGGGGCGTCCCGCTGGAGCTGCATACACAGAGGGTGTAAGAGGCAGGGGGCGTGGAGGGAGGGGGCATCTCTGGGAGAACAGGGGTCCGCGGGTGGGAGGGGGATGGCGCACCAGAGTGGGGGAGGGGTGAGTGGGTTTCCCAGCTCTGGAGTCCTCCGGGGAAGAGGGCATTTAGAGGCTCCCTCTGCCTGCCCACCGATGCACCCCAGCCCCCTCTCCTGGCTCCCAGCTTCCGCTCTGCCCCCTCCCGCAGTCCTGCACACACTGCCTGATTCAGCTTCCTGAAACGGAGCTGGGACTGTGTCATCCCTCAGCTCAGGAGCCCTCAGCGACTCCCAGCCTCCTCCTGGGTCGGGTCCAGGTCCTTTGCCCACCACTCCCGGCCTCTCCCACTTCCTCGCTGTGCCTGGCTGGCCCTGCTCTCTCTGCCCAGGCCGGCCTCCCTGCCCTCGAATGACTCCTGCCCATCCTCCCTCTGCCCTTGGTGACCTCTTCTCCTCCCTGGGCTCATCCCCAAGTCTGGACACCCCTCCCAAAGCCCCTGCCCATGCCCACAACCCTCCTCCTGCTCACCCCACCCTGACATTCTGTCTGTCCTCAGGGGCTGGAACTGATCTTTCTTTTGGGGACCCCCAGTCCCAGGCCCCTGTCATGCACAGGTGCTTAGCTACAATTAGGTGATTTGGGGAGGGGGTCAGGAGGGCAGCTGGTATGTCCCCACTTATCCCTGGGGACTGACGCCTAGATGGGGGGGGCTCCCCCTCTTAGGACAGGAGCAGAACAGCTGGGCTGACCTTGGGAAACGTGTCAGCTCTGAGGAGGGCATTGGGCTGGCAGGGCACTGTGGGACCAGGGCCAAGTCCTTCCCTACCTGGGTCGTCCTCGGGGCTGCCTCTTGGCCTCCTCGGGGTGCCTCCCTCGGGATGGGGAGCGGGCCCGGGCGCCCCGGGGGCTGCTGGCACTTCGGAGGGTCCCACTGCTGAGCTTGGTGCTGGGGGCCGAGGACTGAGACTGGCCCTGGGGTCCCGAGGGTGGGCCAGGGGCCCCAGAGGACGAGGTCCCCGGGGCGGAGAACACCATCCAGTCAGGGAGTGCCATGCTGGTATCGCTGTTGGCCCTCAGCAGCGCGGGGGGCACCGTCAGCCCTGCACCTGGGGGTCCCCGTCTCCGTGCTGCATACTTGGGGGACTCCTGGAAGGGCACTGAGAGGGCAGTGGTGGTTGGGGGCAGATGAGGTAGAGGTGACAAAGGCAGGTGGCATTGTATGGGCAAAAGGTGGTGGGGGAGGGGCCAGAGAGAGACAGAGATGAGAAAGAGCAGGGGCCTGGGATTGCTCCCCCCACCACTCTTGAGGCCATTCTGGCCCTTTGGGGTTTTCTCCATCCCATCCTGGCTCCTCTTTCAAGCCCCCAGCCCCCCAATCCCACCATGAACCCCAGTTGCCCTCGACCCCCCTCTTCGCTCTAGACCCCACTCGCTCACCCACGTCCTGTTCCCGATGGTTGCGGATCAACTCCCCCAGCTCAAAATTGCCAGCAATGACTGCCACCTGGACGGAGAGGCACAGGGAGGGGGTGGCCCAGGTGGCGGAGAGAAGACAGGAAACCACCTGAGGTCCCCTCCAGCCCAAACCCTCCCCTCTCCCTGACCAGGGGCACCCTCCCACCATTCCTGTCCCTACTGTCTGTCCACTGGGTCCTCTTTATCCTCCCTCCCGGCCCCTGCAGCCATGAGACCCCCTACCAGCCCCAGACCTGGAAGGGTGTCTGTCCATTGTTATTTTTCACATCCTTATTGGCGCCTCGATAGAGGAGGATCCTTGCACAGGTCTCCTGAAGGTGACAGCCAGGGGCACAGGATGAAAGTTAAAAAAAAAAAAAAAAAAGATGAAGGTCACCATGAGTGGACGCAGGCACTGCACTGGGAACTCTGGGAATGACCCCACCTGAACCCATGCTGCATAGGGCGCAGCCACTCACAGTGAGTGTAGCCCACCAGCACTTTAAAGGTGGACTCCTGTTTCAAGGACTTACACAGAGTTGTGCAAAAGAAATTAAACATCTCGAATAATTTTTGTATTGATTCTGTATTGAGGTGAGAAGATATTGAATACATTGGGTTACATAAAAGATGCTACTAAAATGAATGAATTTCGCTTGATGGTTTTTCCTTAAACGTGGCCATGAGGTGTTTAAGGACATGTGGAAGGTGTGGCTTGCGTTATATTTTGCCGGAGGGTGCTGATCGGAACTAGGGCTTCTCGACCTTGGCATACTGGCTTTGGAAGCCAATGAGCCTTTGTCACACGGGGCTATGTTCTGCACTGTGGAGTGTAGAGTGGCATCACAGGCTTCTGCCACTAGATGCCAGTAGCAGTCCCTTCCCCAGTCATGACAATCAAAAATGTCTCCAGACATTGCTAACTGTCCCCTGGGGGGCAGAAGCACCCGGTGGAGAACCACCACTCTAAATCTTCGGAAGGGCTTACTACGTGGCAGGTCGGGTGCTCAGCCCTTCAGAACTGAGCTCACCGAATTTCCTAACAACTCAGTGAGATGGAAATTATGGTCCCTATTTTACAGATGAGGAAACTAAGGCTCCAGAGGAGCTCAAGGTCACACAGTGAATGACTGTCAGCACTTGGATTTGAACCCACATCTGTCTGACTCTAAAGCCTTTGATCTTAACCACATACTTTGCCAGGTCCAGAAGGGAGGGGGCACACACCATGGAGGACAGGGGGTTGAGGACTGGGGGCAGTGGGGACAGGGATGCCATCTGCAGCCATTATCGATTCTGTATCAATATCAACAGCATGTCACTCCTCAGTGCTCTCTGGTCTATCCTCATGTCCTTGCCATGATCTGGGAGGCCCCACCTGAGCTGTCTGCCCTGCCCCTACCCACCAACTTCGCCTTCTACCATCTTTCCTTGCTGCCCATGTTCTAGCCACACTGGCCTCCTCCGTCCTCTGTCAGGCATGCTCCTGCCCCAGGGCCTTTGTACCTGCTGCTCCCTCTGTTCGGAATTCTTCACACCAAGGTCTCCCCACTGCTTGCTTTGTCACTTCATTCAGGTTTTCACTCAATGCCACCTCTTTAGATAAGTGCTTTGGTTTTGTTTTGCTGTAGTGAGGATGCGACTCAGAGTGTTGCATATGCCAGGCAAACATCCTCCCACTGAGCTACATCCCGAATCTTTTATTTTTCATTTTGAGACAGGGTCTCACTAAGCTGCCAAGGCTGGCCTTGAACTTGCCTGCCTGAACTTGATCCTCCTGTCTCAGCCTCCCCTTCCAATGAGCTGGGATTACAGCATGTGCCGCCATGCTTCAGAGAGGCCTTCTCTGAACATTCTGTCTAAAGGAACTCCCTTGTTCTGTTCCTTTCTAATGGTTTTATTTATTTTTATGTGACACTCTTGCATGTGACAGGCATTCTTTGAAGCCAATGTTAACTCATTTCTTTCTAACACCATGTCCTGACATTCCGTTTTGATGTCATTTTTCTCTTTGGCATTGTATTGTCTGTGGCACTTGCCACCAGGAATAGTACCTGCACACAGGGACTGTTCAGTGGACAGTCAGTCAGTGGGGAAACTCTTCTGCCCTGCCTTGGCGTGGCCAAGTCCAACCTGGCTGCCCCAGCTCCACTCCACTCTGGCTCCCTGATGCTAATTTCAAGTATCCACAAGCCCCTTCCTATCCTTCCAGATAAAACCCTCCAGGGATACAGGCACAGGCCCATCCACAGGCCAGGTCCAGTGAGGCCAAATCCCTTGCCCAAGACCCACAGGCAGTTAGCGGAGCAGCCAGGAGTCCACCCTGGCCTTCTCATGCTGGTGCTCCTCTGTCTCCTACAAATGACCCCTCATAGAGGAGGATCCGATCACCAAGACCACCCCCTGAACAGCAGAGTCACTCCAGTTAGTGTTGTGTGTGTGTGCTAAGAATGTGTGTGTGTGTCCGAGTATGTACACACTGTCCCCTAACGGCACTGGTATTACCTCCACCTGTATTTCTGCATATTCTCACACACTTCCAGCTCCCACGATGGGGGTACAGGGCCCAGGCTCTTCCTTCTACTCTACCCTAGTCCAGAAAATGCCCAAGTCTTAGTTAGTAGCTCCCTCCTCTGGATGCCTGGGGAACCGCATATTTACTTGCAAACGGGATTCAATGATTTGTTTACGTCTGCCTCTGCGCCAGACTGTGAATTCCCCCCACCATTCCCAGGGCAGATGCTGTCTCTGATTCATCTTGCATCCCCAGCACCTGGCACGGGGCACACAGTAGGTGCTTAAGAAATGCACATGGAAAGGATGAGGAGATGGAGGATGTGGAACTGTCAGTCAAAATTCATTTGTTCATTGAGTCATTCATTCATTCACTCATTCCCTGAGTCATTCAATCTGTCAAAACAGACACCCCTGGAGCATTCTGAGGTGGGCACTGCGCACAGCCCTGCAGGAACCCAGGATGGCTGACTCGTCATTCATTCATTCGCTCCACAAAGATGCAGCCGGCCTACCATATGCTGGGGGCTTGGACAGAGCAAGTCCTCAAACTCAACCCCCACCCACAAGAACAAACAGTCTAGACATGGACCTGACCTTCACCACAGAGGCTAGACGGGCAGACCAAGAGGCCAGGGAGCAAGATCAAGGAAAGATGGTCAGCCCCAGCCCCAGCCCCAGCCTTTGGAAAGCTTAAAGCCTGGGAGGGAAGACCAGGGGATCTTGAGAAGTGGAAGGTGAGCTCCCATTTATTACCGCCATGCCAAGAGCAAGCAAAATGTTAACCCACTTAATCCTTCTGTGTGGTGGGCATCAATTACTGACCCATTTCACAGTTGAGACAGGGGAAGCCCAAGAAGGGGAAATGATGTGTTCAACCAGTCTAAGAGTCACTGTGCCTGCTATATCATTAATTGTTTGTGCTAAATATTCCCTGCTCAAATGAATGGTATGTCTTCCGAGTGAATCCTGATTGACACTGGAAATGATAATAATAATAATAACAATTATTACTATCATGACTGTCTTCTAGGGATGAACACTTAATATACATGATCACTCAGCCCTTTCAATCAGCTGGCTTTATTCCCATTTCAGGGAGAAGGACAGAGTCTTGGAGAGGAAAAGGGGCCTGTCAAGGGTCCCCCAGGCTGCCCAGGACTGGGGGGTCCCCCTTCTCCACCGCACAGTGGCCTCAGAATCAGAGGACCTGGACACCAAGTCTGCTGTCAGGGAGCAGGAGAGACAGAAGCAAGCAGGAGGGGAAGTGGTCTGGTTTGACAAACACAGTCCTTCCTCAGCGCTCAGCATACTGCTCACCGCCACCAGGCGGCACGTGGCCACCTGCCAAGTCCCCAGCACTGCAAGTTCTCCTGAAGCAGAAGGGGCTGGGCTGTTTTGGAAGACTTCCTGGAGGAAGGGGGCTGCCAGACCAGCAGCCTCATGCCAGGCCCTGTCTCCCTAAGTTCTTCAAGGGCAGGGAGCATGGAGAAACAGGCGGGGGCCAACGGCTGTCCAGTACAGCTCCCGCGCCTACGTGAGCCCTCCTGCTGCTGTGACTGCCCACCTCTCCCGGGACCTCCTGGGGGCAGTGTCCACCCAGCCTCGAGTTGCTAAAGGCACAACCCTGCCTCATCCCTGCCAGGGCTGCACTCTGGCCTTGCCTCGGTCCCCAGCTGTGCCCCCACACAGCTCCCAGGCACCCTGCTGGCTGGCTGGAGACACATGGCCAAGGGACCTGCTGAACCCCTTTTCCTTCCTGCAGTGGTCCCACCTGCCCTCCTTCTGCTCTTCTGCACAGGCTGTGCCCTCTGCTCGGCCGTCTCCGGCTCGTCTCAAGGGCGCACCCTCCAGGAAGGCACCTCCACCCAAGGCAAGCCTGGGGGTGGGCTTCTGTGGGGACCTGGATTCCCTGTGACTTCACTCTGAGCATCCTGGACTGTACCAACAGGGGCTACTGTCTGCTCCCCTCCGGGCCACAAGGTCAGCACACTGTCTCCAGCACCCAGCTCTGGGCCTGACACAGGGAAGGCACTCTGTCGGTATCTGTTGGATGGATAGTTGGATGGTTGGACAGACGGATGGAAGGATGGAGGATGAAGGGTGAAAACCGTGGAGGAGCAGAGACTGCGGAGGTGTGGAGGCTGGAGTCCCCGGGCCTGGCTGGGCACTGGGGAGGTGGCTGTGGGGAGGTGGCTGTGCAGAGCCGGCTGGGCCCTGCGGGGTCAGACCTTGTTGTAGAGAGCACAGATGTGCAGGGCCGTGTTCCCTGAGGCGTTCTGGGCTCCAGGCTCAGCCCCATAGAAGAGCAGGTGTTCCAGGTGCTGAGAGTGGCCCCGCTGGCAGGCCTGGGAGGTCAGAGATCGAAGGGCCAGATCAGACACGGCCTGAAACCGTCCAGGTTCTCTCCCCTGGAGCCAGGAACCCCCACATCTACCCGCTCTTCTCTTTCCACCCCATTCCTGCCCAAGGACGAGGCTGTCAGCTTCACAAGTCTGAATGTTTGGTCATTTCCACGCCTGGGTGTCCAGTCTGGTACTCAAGAGGGCCAAGAGGCCAGGCCCGCACATCTCTGTGATGTTCACTTCCCCAGCCTATGACCCCTTCGGTCCTGATGTCCATGCAGCCACCTTTTACCCTGTGCAGACTACTCTATTCTCACTCCTGCCCTCTGCCAGGACCCCAGCATCTGGATCCCTGCCCCAGCTCTAGCCCCTGGCATGCCTTGGGGCCCGGGCCTTGCCCACCCCTACCCCTTGGGGCCAAGTCTGGAGCACCTGGTGGATTTCCTGCCAGCCGTTCTCATCAGCTATGCCCAGCTGGGCCCTGTTGTACAGGAGCAGTTCACAGCAGCGGGGGTCGCCCCCCACCATGGCCGTATGGAACAGAGGGGTCAGCCCACGGCGGTCCTTGTAGTTGGGGGAGCCCCCAAGGTCCAGGAGTGCCTAGGAAGGGAGAGAGAGAGCCAAGGAAGAAAGGACAGATGACAGTCACACTAGAACCAGCTCATTCTGAAGTGCTGGTGAGGAACCCTGGTGACCCTCACTGGCCAAAGCCTGTCTCAGCTCAACCATGACGCCCTCTAGGCCTCGGGCCAGGCCTTTCCCCTTGCCAGGCCATTCTCATCCCTGGGGAACAATGAAGGGACAAGGTAGATGCCTCCGAGGACATCTCCTTCTCACGTACTGCCCAGTCTTTCATCCACGGGTGACCGTGGATGAGTCATTAAAGAATGTCGGTAGCTGCAGTGCCCCTCACCCCAGAGGATGCACACTGGGGGACAAGGAGAGATGAATTGTGGGTGCCGGAGGGCCTGTGGCCAAGTGAGACCAGAGTCCTGAAGATAGGGGACAGGAGGGAGCCTGGGAAAGGGCGAGCGTGGGGTGAGGCAAGTCCTGAGCCAGCCTCATTGGGGGTGCAGGCTGAGGAGTGGGGAATTATCCTATTTAAGAGATACCTCTGGGTGTGGAAGGTGGGTGACATCAAATACTAATAGGAGAAAGCGTTGAAGGAACCCTGTGTGAGGACAGCCTGCAGCAGCACTGTCCAGGGGGACATTCTGCAATGCTAGAGATGATCTTCAATGGTGCCACCCCTATGGTAGCCACAGGACGGCAATGACACCCGAAAGTGGCTAGTGAGACTGAGGCATTTAAATTGCAGTTTTACTTCATTTTAATTAATTTGAATTTAAACAACCCCACAGCCGGCTGGTGGCAATGGGTCGGGGGAGGCCTAGGGGCTGGGTGTGTGTGTCCAGGGTGGAGGTCTGGGGCTGAGTATGCAGGGGTTGATTCCACTGATAAAAGGCAGCTCTGTGTGGCTGGCGCTTGGCTACATTAAGGGTTCTTCAAGAAAAGAGTTGGAGAAGAGAATGGTGTGCCAAGTCCACTGGACCCTCTGAGAAAAGGGGTGTTCGTCCATGGCCACCCTTGGGTGCAGCCAATCCTGGGCTGTGCATGAAGAGAACGGAGTGTGCTGATGGGGGGGTCCTTCTGTGATGTATTTTGTGGGTACCGGGGGGCCTATTTGGAAAAGAGCATTTGAGGCACAGGGGGATGTGAAGCAGGGCTGAGCTTGCCCATGAGAGGAGAGGCGATGCACGGGCAGCAGGCACTGGCTGAGGAAGGGCAGGTGGAGGGTGGCCACCGTGTGCATGGAGAGGTGGGAGCACAGCAGGTCGCTGTTTTAAGGAACATGAGGTGGGCTGACGCCTGGGAGACAGAAGTAGGATGGGTGCTGCGCAGGTGAGTGTCTGAGGGTCTGGGTGTCTGAGGGAGGAGGCTGTGCTGGGGAGAGTCAGGAGCTACCTGGGCAGCTAGTGCGGCACGGGTGGGCACACCTGGGGCCTGAGGAGTTGGAATGACAATAGGGACTGTGTATTTGTCAGTCCGTGGAAGGGGGCTTTGTACCAGGGGTAGCAGGAGCAGCTATTTATAACAAACTAAAGAACTAGGGTTTGAGAGAGGACCAGGGGGAATGGAGACAGGGTCCCAGGGCGAGGGGGTGGTCACGGCAGCCTCACCGTGAGAGCCAGGCAATGCCGGGCACACGCGGCCTTGTGCAGTGCTGTCATGCCATCCCGGGCCCGGAAGTCAATGTGGGCCCCACCCAGGCACAGAGTTCGAATCACCTCTACCGAGCCTTCAGTCTGGGCCGCCAGGGTCAAGGGGGTCTCTGAGGGGCAAGAAAGGCCAGTCACATGCAGGCCCTTAGCCTCCAGCCCTTCCCACACCACCTCCTTGGCTCCCCAGCTTGACACCCACAACCTGTGGTCCCATGGTCCCCCTGTCCCATGGTGACAGTGGTAGGGAATTTGGCATTCCTGCCCCTGCTGCCCTATCTGGCCCCTGCTGTCCCCCACGACGTGGGCTCCTCCCTACCTCCCGAATCTGAGTCATGGTAATTGGGGTCCAGCCCCTTGTCCAGCAGGCGCGCCACCTTGTCTGACGTCCCAAGCTGCACGTACTCCAGGAACTTCTTCAACCCCGTCTGTGTCATGGACAGAGAGAGAACACAGGCTGGTTAGGGACTGGGGGGAAGGGCAGAGGTCTCCAGCAGCACCACCCAGTGGAAATGCACAGCTAGCCGCAAGTGGCATTGAAATTTCCTGTGGCCACCTCCAAAGCAAAAGAAAAGAGGAACCATCAATTATATTGAAATTCAATCTGAAGAGCTATGTTCTGTACCAATATAACCACAGTGCTCCAGTTCAGCAGGCAATCCATAGGAAAGTTATTAATAAGACACTTCACTTTTTTTTTTTTTTTTCACAGAGTCTTTGCAATCCCCTGTGACCCAACTCCATGTTGCAGGTGCACAGAAGCCACATAAGGCAAGTGGCTCCCAAAGTGGATGGCAAGATTGGGGAGGAAAGAGGGTGCACAGTGCGGGGGAGCAGGTAAGAAGGGGGTCAGGGTTTCTTCCTTCTGAAGCATCAAGAATCCTCCCTCTCCGGCCACAGCAGCCCCTGACTTCCTTCCAGCTCTTAGGTGACTAGGGGAGACACCGGGGAGACGAGGCCCCAGGATTGGAGGGTTAGATCCCAGAACAAATACCAATGGAGAAGAGGGGTTGATCCTTGAATTTGGTGGAAGTTCAGGCTATGGGATTGGGGAGTTTCAGGGCATCTATAAAGTAGTCCCCAGACGGGCAAACAGGAGTAAGAAAAGGACCCTGAGTGGACATGGGGTCTCAGGAGAAGAGAAGCGGGAGGCAAAGGAGCCAGGTAGAAACGGAATGCTCCTGGGAAGGATGAGCGGCCTGAGAGGGAAGAAGGAAGGGGTGAGGTTGGGGGCAATGCCAGCAGGGGTCTCTCACCTTTGTGTGCAACTTGGCCAGCTGCTTCTCATCCAGGTTGGTCTGTTTGTAAACGCGGGTCTTGTATCGGAACTGAGGTCAGCAGTAGGGTGGGGGGAGAGACACAGACTTAGAAGCGGAAACCTGGGCAGGTAGGTCTGACCCCTTCTCATCCCCCAGGAGGAACTCAGGGTTGATGTGGAAATAGCTCTGGAGCCTCGGTTGGGGGGCAGACAGTGGCAGAGAGCTTTCCTGAGAGTGCTGGGTCCTTGAGGCATAGTTCCCTACAACTCCTACCTTGAAGAAGCAGGCATGAGGAACCCACAAGGAATGTTCTAGAATGCCTACTGTAACTGGGGGTCCTTCCCCAATCCATGGGGCAAGAGAAGCTTGGGGTGGTGAAGGGATTTCCCCAAGGCCACTCAGAACAAATGGTGATCTGAACTCAGCCTCTGACTCCCTGTGGGTCCTAGGATATCCAGAAGAGCTCACCGGGGTTCCCCTTGTTAAGGTCTCAACTGGAACCAGTATGTGTTTGGGGGTTGATGGCTTTAGGACAGGACTCATGTTGTCAGTGAAGGGGTCAGGAGGCTGTGGACCTCACCTCCAGGTAGGGTACCCCCTTCTCAAAGGACTGGGGGTACTCCCGCAGCAGCCTCTCCTCCTCCAGGAAATTGGCATCCCGGCCTGAGGTGGCCGGCTGGAACAGGCCGTAGTTGAGCACATCCTGCAGGCTCTCACTGAGGGCACAGAGCACCTGCTGCTTGGCTGTCCAGATGGTGGCATCCGGGTTGAAGCGCAGGCATTTCTGGTGTGGGGGGGGAACCGGGGCCAGGGTGAGTCAGGGGTCCAAGGTAGGTTGGGAAGGAAGTGGACAGCTGGGGTGGGGGGTGATTCTGGACACAGGGGCAGGAGAAGGGGAAGCACATGGCGTCTGAAATGGGAGCCAAGGGGGCTTCCTGGGAGGACACCCAGCCCCAGGTGCCACTCAGACTCTGTCCCCACCTCTGCTTCTGGCAAGTAGGTGGTCACTCACTGTCTGGTGCAGGTCCGGGATGCCAATCCTGAAGACCATCATGCTGAAGTGGGCGTCGTCTGGGACAGACATGGAGCGACCCTGGAGGCCTCGGGCAGAGGCCAGGCTACCAGGTGTCCCACTGCCCTGGCCCCGGGTCCCCCGAGGGCCTTGCCCTGGCCCGTCTGGGGAGCTGTCGGACTCTGAGCCCCCCTCGGGACACTCGCTGGCACTGTGGCGTTCCTCGTCCTCGCTTGTGGCAGGGCTGTGGGTCATCGTGGGGCCACGGGGCGACGGGGGACGGCAGCATCACAGGCGGCTGCAGGGGCCAAGGGTGACTGTCAGAATAGGAGCCCAGAACCCCTCTGAGGCCACTGGCACCACTTAATGGACAAGTGGTCAAGGGCAGGTTTTCCCCACTGTTCTCATGTGCCACCTCTGCAAGTGCATATCACCCCCGATCCTGCCATGCTCCCAGCACCTGTCTCCTTCCGTGCCCTTGGCCCTGCTAGCAGCCCCTGCCCCCCCTGCGCCCCACTTTGCCGCTGACCTAGTGTGGCCGTGTCCCAGAAACCGCAGAATCACCGCGGGAGCTACTGGCCCACTTTGTCAGGCCACAGAAAATGCAGCTAAAATTAGCTAAGGACAGACAGGTGGACCAACCCACCGGCATCCCGCCCTCCTGGCCTTGGCCTGGCCCCTCACCCTGAGGGAGGCTGGGGCTGAGCTGTAGTAAAGGGGAGATGGAGGTGTGGTGAGCCTGGGGCGGCAGGAGGTGCCCATGAGCAGGTGGAGTCGGTGACTTCACTGAGTGTGGCTGACTACATGTGCAGAGGGTTGCTGGGAGTTGGCCATTCCAGGGGAGCAAGGGGCATTGAGATGGGTTGTCACAGATCAGAGCATCTTGCACGGGGTGTACCCTAGGGAACTAGGAGCAATGGCCTTTGACAGTTATTGGGGCATCTTAAGAGGGCATGTGGCTGGGTGGGGAGGCTGTCCCAGGGACAGCTGCCCAGGTGTGATGGCCTGGGTGGGTGTGGGATGCTGTGAATAACCTGTGGGAGTGTTTCAGGACTGGCGCTGCAGGGCAGCTGGGCTGGCATTGCCTGCACTGGTGGTTCCACGGAGAAGCATTGGTTGGGGGGTGGCTGGGAGGAGACTAAGAAGTGAGGTGAAGATCTGGGGGCAGGGGTAGGGGTAGAGGACCTCTGGATCCTACGGTTCTCCCCTAAGGTGGCTCTAAGAAGGTGGGTCCCTTCCACATGGGGTCTGCCTCCCTCATGTTCTCCCCTACTCCCACCCCAGCACCGGAAACCAGAATGTCTGGTCTGGTCCCTACCCCCAACACCAGGCCCGGCTCCTGCACCGTTGTCATGGAGATGGGAAGCAGTGGAGGGTACTGCTGACTTTGGGGGAGTGGGGATGGGTTAGGGGGTTGGGGAAGGGAAGACAAAATGTGTGTGGAGGGAAGAGAGTTCCAAGAACTGTGGGCGAGTGAGCATCTAACCACGGCCAGGGCCCCTCCCCCACGCGTGGCCGGAGCTTGGAAGCCCCCTCCCCCTCCAGGTACGCAGCCCGGCTGCCCCACCCACCCTGCCCTGCCAGAGACCCCAGCCTACTTCCAATCCTCGGTCCGCCCTACCACACGTCCCGCCTCTATCTGGGGCCACAGCCACTCCCCCTCGGCTGACCCTGGCTGACCCCCAGCTCCAGTCCCGCAGGAATGGGGTGGCCAGTTGGATGAAAGAAAAGCTGGTCCCCGGCCACCCGCGCGCACGACTGCCCCAGCCCCCAGGACCAGCTCGGCCCCTCCCCCTCCGGCCTCGAGGGAGGGAGCGGGCACACTCCGCCGGGGCGGCATGAATCAAACGCTCCGCGGCTAAGAATAGCTGGCACGCAGCTGGTACTGAGACGGGCTGAGGAATCGGCGAGGGGGGGTGGAAAAGGGGAGAGGGGGTGCCCTGGGAGGCTGCGGGGGGACAGGGGGCGACTGGCGTGGCCGAGAGCGGGCCCGGGAGAATGAATGGAGGCGGAGGGGGGAGGAGAGAGAGCTCGGGCTGAGGCCGAGAGGCTGGTGGGGGAGAGCCCCGGGCCGGGGAGAGGGGCGGGGGCTTCGGGAGCGGGACTCGGGGGCGGGAGCCGAGGGGGTGCGCCGGCCGGCGGTGAAAGGACTGGAGACGGTGGGGATGGGGGGAGCCTGGGTCGGGGGTGGGAAGGGATCGAGGCTCCGGGAAGAAGAAGTGGGAGCTAGAGGCGGTCGAGGGGGGCGGAGGATGCTAGGGCCTAGACCCGCGCTGAAGGGGGTGGGAACCAGGGTGACCTGAGGGAGGGGCCCAGGTGCGCCAGGGTGGGCGAGGCGGGGGAGTGGCCGGGCAGGGCCAGGAGGCGGTACCGCGACCGACCCTTGGCCCTAAAGAGCCGGTAGGCGGGTTCGGGCTAGGGGCTCTGCTGGCGGGGGATGGGGCGCACCCTCTCACCAAGGATGCGATCTGGGACGGGGCACCCGGGACCGGGGCGTAACCCAATTTGGTGTCACCCGGGACAACGATCCCCTCCTCACCCGCACCCCCCACAGCACACCCAGGCCCGGAGCCGGCGCCGGGCCAAGGACATCCGGGGCGCCCCCGCCCCCCCCCCCGCAGCCCCAGCCCCGCAGCTCCACCAAAACCCCAGGTTCCCGGCCCCCTTACCTGCCTGGCGGGGCTGCTGAGTCCCGGTCGGCGGCGCCCGCGGCCCCTCCCCCCTCCCCCCACCCCCCACCCCCCCGGAGACGGGGGACCCTCAGGCCATGCCCCACCGCCCCGGAGGGCGAGCGGGCCGGGGAGGGGGCGGGCGGGGGCCGGGGGGGAGGGCGGGGGTGCCGAGGACCTCACCCCCCCCGCGGGCCGGGCCTGGCCATCCGCAGAGCGCCCCCCCTTCTGCCGCGGCCGCCGCGCCCCTCCTCGCCCGCCCCCGGCTCGGTCCGGCCGGCTCCGGGCGCCGCGTCTCCGCCTGCTCTTCCTCCTCCTCTTCCTCGGGCCGCCGCCGCCGCCGCCGCCGCCGCCGCCCGCTCCGCGCCTCCTCTGCCACCCTTCTCGCTCTCTCGCTCTCACTGTCTCTCCCTCACCCTGTCTCTCTCTCCCTCCCTCTCTCCCTCCCTCCCCTCCCTCCGCCCTCTCCCCTCCCTCCGGGAGCCAGCAGAGGAGACATCGCCCCTCCCCGCGCCCCCAAACCTCGCCCATCCCCCCCACCGCCGGCTCCGCCCCCTCCCCTTGCCCTCCCCCACCACTCTTCTCCACTGCCAAGTCCCCAACCCCGGACTCCACCCTGCTTGCCCCCCGTGCACCAACGATGGGGTCCCGCCCCCCCCCAAGGGTACCCAACAAACATCCGGAGACTGCCCTGCCCCAGAGTGCCTCCCACCCCCTCTACACACAGTGGGGTGCATTAAGTATTTGTTGTCAGGCACCCGAATCCCCAAATTGGATTTTGAGGGTTATAGATTCCTGTCCTGTGCCCCCTAAACACACACAACACACACACACACACACACACACACATACCCACACTACTTAAGCACAGGGCAAGGCACACGTGGGCACACCTGACAGGCACTGTGTCCCCCAAGGCACAGGTGTGTAGAGTCACCAGCCTGCATAGAACTCACAGACAACCCCACGTGTGCATACTGGGCATGCCGTCCAGGCACAAGGTACTTGGGGACACACGACTACAAACATACCCAGCTGCCTGTGCTTGTCATACCCTTGTGCCCTCCAGCGCATGCATGCAGCACAGTGCGGGGCTCACCCACCCCACGCCCAGAAGCACACCTGGGGGTGCGTGCTCATATCTCACAAACTGGAACAGAGGCACATGGTAGGGAGGAGTGTGTGTGCCTTCCTAACACACCCACAGTACCACCCATCACACAGGTTTGCACACACCTGTTTAGTTGCACAATACTGTGCCATAACTCCGCCCCAGGACATTTCTTGTGCAGGTGCAGTGTGCCAGGCTCTGAGACTTTCACCTTTCCTGTGTTCCAAAGGCACAGAAAATTGAGGCACAGAGAGGCTAAGTATTTTGCCCAAGGTTGCCCAGCTATAAAGAGGCAGCATTCAGAATTAGGGACAGGCAGGCTGGATCCAAAGTCTTCATTTGTCCTCTATGTGCACTACAGGGCGCCATAGTTGCATATCTTCACTTATCACAAATAGTCCTGCACAGCCATGTGCTCAGAGCCCATGTACACACACATAGTCAGCTGTGTTCATTCGTGCCCAGGATGCACTCAGAAAGAGTGAACTCCACAGGGCAGCCCAGACTTCTACCTTACTCCAGCTCCAATGGCACCACCTTAGTCACCAGTAAACACAGGCACCTACAGTGGAGAGTTCTAGTCAACTCTTCAGTTTGCCTCCAGCTGCAGGCTCTCCAGGGCTCCTGGGATGAGCTGGAGTGGGTGCCAGCCTAGCCTAGGGAGGCCCCTATCCTGATGCACACCCACCCGCCAGGTGGTGAGCAGCTGGGCCCAGGGGAAACAGCTGCTCTTTTGGGTGCCAGCAGTGAGAAGCGGTGCCCCCTCTACAGCCTACAAGGCCTTTCTGGACCTACACATTACCTCCTGAGGTCTCGAGGCCTAGTGAGGGGTTTCTGGGCCCAGATGGGCACTGGAGAGACCCAGGCTCCAAAGCAGTGAGCAGCCTGCCCAAGGTCACGCTGCCCTCGGTGTAGCAGCTTTCTTGGAAAATGGAAAGCTGGATGTGTTGATTTCCAAGGCCCCTCCTGGGGCTCCCAGTAGCCGAGGGCAGATGCCCTGCTCTTTGTAGGAGCCAGAAGTCTTGGCCAGCTGCCACCAGGCTGGTGACCTCCAGAGGGCTGTGCTATTTCCCCTCTCAGAGCCTCCATTTCCTCTTTTGAAGCGCGGACCCCTTGATTCCTGGCTCATGAGCTCCATGCTTGTTGGCACAACCAGCCAGCCTGACGCTGGAAAAGCCCTGCATGACTCACAGGGCTGGCACAGGGTGGCCATGGCATGGCCTCTGCTCCCCTTGCCTCTGAGCCTCTCTCCCACTGTCCTCACTGCCTCCACCCAAGCTGCAGCCACCACCCTGGAAACTCAGGATGCATGCTAAACACCAGCCAAGCCCCGGGCCTTTGACCAAGCTCTGCCACACCAGGAACAGCTACCTCCTTACTCAGCGGGAGTCAACACCTACTATGTGCTAGGGAAGCTGGGGGAAACAGCGTGTACAAGAATCCCTGCTTTCATTAGCAGGAGGCATATGTGTTAA